AAGACGCAATATCCTTAGCAACATGTCTCCAATTATCCAACGGAAAAATCCCCGAAGCCGTTCGCTCACACATAAGATTCAGGTAAGAACGCAAACACGCACCTCTCAATCCCCTTTCCACTATATCATTACTAAAATCTCCACAAAAGATTCACCCGCAACGCCTGCGCCCAAAAACTAGGATTCTCCAACGCCGAGCTCCTCCAAGAAACCGACTGGGAAAAAGTCACCCTGGATCCCCGACGCGCACAACCCAAATTGCCGAAATGGGTCTGGTCCCACGATCCAGAAACGTACACGTACAAACACTACCACGCCAACGTCAAGAGTATGGAAGCAGGAATTCCATTCGACGACTCGGAGATTGCGGAACGAGATCCGAATTTTCCAAAGGGGTATAGGTATGTGCCTTGGACGATTGATTGGATTATGGAGTGTATGCGGAAGGGTGTGGCGGTGGATTTGGGGGAGGGGGAGTGGGAGTAACGGTTCTAGAGAGCTTCGAGTATTGTGATTAATCATTATTATTGGGTGCGAAAAAATTCTTCGTCAGATGCATACGTTAAGAGAGGTGTCGCATACTTGCTTGCGAAGTCATTAGCTTATTCTTAGAAAGCTTTGACAGTGAGTAGAAAATTGGGGTTAAGAAATCTTTGATGATACCATCTATGACCGTAAACATCATTGATAGCCATTCGCTATGCACCACAGTGCCATGCGTGAAATGCCCAAGAACAGAGTCCGTAACCGTAACCGTAACCACCGTGCGCCCAATGCGTTTCGTTCGTTCACCAAGACGGTGCTCGTTGTCGCAACAGATACGAAAATCCCATGACAGAAATGCAAACCGCAGCAAACAAACCTTCCCAGACCTTAACCAGCGCCTTGCCATTCATTGCTTTATACGACATCGACAATGCTCATCTCACGCCCGTAAGTTTCTCCTCAGGAGCTCTTGTGGGCTCGTAGTCCTTGGGAGCCAACGCTGCCAACCCGGCCACTGGTCTTGCGTACGCTCGTCTTGCCTTCTGTACTACGACGAACCGGCGACGACCGCTTGCTTATGGTCAAGTTACCCATGCCATTACCGCTCTTGGCACTTGGTGTCTTCGGTGGCTTGCTTGGACTTGCAACCTGATCAGCACTTTCGGGACGATTCTCTGCCTCGCTCGTATCCGTGGGAACATCCCACTTGGTTGTCGTCGTCGTTGTGGTGGTACAGGATACTGCTCGTCTTTTGCCGCTGCGGCTGACTGGGGATTGGCTCGTCTTCCGAGACAGCATACGCAACGCGTAGTCCTCCTCAGATTCGTTGGCGTCCATCGTCGTCCGGGATCTCTGCGTATGAGCTGCTTGGGTGTCTTCTCGAATGCTGAAAGGCTGATTTTCGGTCATAATTCTCCTACCACCGTAGACCTTGTTCGTCTTGCGAGGCTGCCCAGGCGTGGGAGCTGGCAGATTCTCGTCTGCAACACCCACGCTGTTCTTAAAGTCATCGGCAGAGTTTGTGCCTCCATTTGATGTTGCGGCGGATTCGTTATTGGTGATCTCGCCAAGAGCTCGTCTTGGGCTCGCAGCATGGCGATCGCCGCCAGGAGGAGTGAACGTCTGACCGTTGCTGGCGAGACGTCTCGCACTCGAGGTCTGTACGCGTGTCGGAGTCGCGGGTTGCATTGATGCCATTATCTTCTCTCGCACGGTGTCTTCGAACCACCATTCCCGGAAAGTGCCTTGATTCAGGTGCAACCAATGTTGCTGCGGTCCAACAACCATGCCAGGTCGCATGAAGCGCATGAATGCAATGACTTCGTTCGCCGTGAAGCCATATCTGTAGATGAGATAGGCTCCAATCAGACAGCCGGTCCGTCCAAGACCTGCTTTGCAGTGTACAGCGATACCTTTATGCTTATCGTTGATGGTAGAGTGCGCCAAGTTCACGAACTTTCGGACCAGATTTAGCGGAGGGCATGTTCCATCATCGAAGATCATGTCCAGGTGCTTGATACCCAGTGCAGTGAAATAGCTGGGCGAGTAGAGCTCCGAGTTGAGGCGAACGACAAGACCAATCCCTCTTTCAGCGAAGTGGGTAAGCACATTCTTGAATGGCGTTGGTAAGGTAGCGTTTCGCTTGATGGCCGAAATCGATCGTGGCAGGTCGTTGTACATAGGGTCATTAGGGCCGATGACATGAGTTGGCTGATGTTGTGGCGAAGCAAAAGCCAGGAAATCGGGCGACACCCAGTTGAAATCGCCCATGTCAACTCGTTCATACTTCTCATACTCCTCGAGCGAGAATTCCTTCAGACCCACAAGACCCTCTTCTTTGGCTTTCCACACCCCGTACACGACATCTTGGACGGTCAAAGCATAGTCGGCCTGACTGTAGCCTGCGTCGCGGAATGGCATGCATGGCGGGTCCATTTGCGAAATCGGGGCCAGAGCCAGATGTGGTGGCCAATTCTGGATCAGAACCATGTAAGTGGCGAGAATGCAGGCGGCATTCGCTCGACCTGCGAATATGTTAGACATGACATGGTAGCAGGATTCACTTCCAAAACCTACTCCGCGCATCTGCATGACTCCAGAACACGACAGCTCGGTTCTCGTTGTCTGGGTGTCCCAACACATCGTGTAACTGCACAGCAAATCGGTATAGATGGCCAACGTGCAGTGGACCGAAATCGGCGTGGAAGGCATTGTAGAGCAGGCTGCGGTCTATGGAAAAGTAGAAGGGCGGAAGCGTTGGATTGCTGCTTTGTGCAGCCTGAGGCCCGGTCTGCGCGCGCGATGCTCGCTTGTGCGGCGACCGACTGTGCTTCGCAGGGTATGGGAACGGCGTGCTCTCATCGGGGGCATGCGTGTAGGATGCAAGGTAGAGGCGATCTGTAAGCGTGACCGTTGTCCCGTTAGCAATGCGGTCGACAATGTCTATGGCTGTCTGTCACGCTTGCCGCTTCTGATGGTGCGCACCTTGGATGTACTCAATCACCTGTCCATAGCTAGTGACGGACGCTGTCTCGGCGAGACTCTGCCGCGACTGATGAGGCATTGGCAGTGGCCGTCGCAGACTCCTGGCGCCTGCGGCGGAGAATGCAGACTATCGAATAATGCGTCTGGTATGGAGGTTGCGCTGGTATGAATAGACGGGCGGAGAGCTGCGATATGTGTATGTATTGCGGGCGGCGGGCGGCGGGCGGCGAGGTGGAGGAGGACGAGGTCGCGCGCAGCTGCAGGTACGCGGAAGTCCAAGAGCTCTGCCGACGATGCCTTTGCGATGAGATGCAATGCAGCCCGAGGATGAGTATGAGAATGCCGGAGCCACAGCCAGAGACGCGCGATGTGGGTGGTGTGAAAGCCAGTCTGTCTGTAGATGGAGCAATACATGTATCTATGCCAGTGCGCAAGCTTTGTTGTTCTGTTGTTGTTTTGCCAAATCATCGACCATGGCAACCCGGCTGGCGAGCCGTGCAGCCGCCTCGCCTCGCCTCGCCCTCCCGCCCTCCCGCCCTCCCGCCCTCCCGCCCTCCCGCCCGCCTCAGGGTCTCGCTGCATTCTTTCTTTCACATCAACATCGCACAACCGTTCGTCTTCGACCACGCTGTTCCAACTTCCAACCGTCGACCGGCGACCGTTACAGACAACCGCTCAGCTAGGCGCGTGCGGACGGTCGCGCAACAATAATGCTGGTGCAGCGCGGAAAAGCAGAGGGCTGGCTGCACCTCGACGTCGCTGCCCTGACAACATGGGCCGTCGCCAATGGCATCGAATTCAAAAGCGCTTCTCCTGCTCTGATACCCGGGAGAGGCATCGGCCTACTCGCGGACAGGCCTGTTCAATATTCCTCATCGGAGTCGTCCGTGTTCTTGACAATACCAGAAGACCTCGTCCTTTCGATGGAAGCGGTCAAAAGACACGCCCGTTTCGACACGCACTTTCGGGAGCTCATTGAGAGCCTTGACGACTTCGGCAGAGTAGGTACAGGCCTTTGACAACCCCACTTCTGGCCTCATGACATGCCCTATATCCTACTGAATACTCCGCCTGGCTAGGTGTACGGAGAGGAGTCTAGCTAACCTTGCCCTAGACCCCTCGAGGTGCCATTCTCTCCTTCCTTCTCTTTCAAGCTTCTGTCTCCTGCCCCCATCTTGCTGAACGTGTCGGCGTCCATTGTGCTCTTACAGAGTGCGTCTTCATCCAAATGGCCCGAACTTGACCAAGATCCGGAGTTGAGGATAAGCAGACGCTAACACTTCACAGCTACGTGAAGACATTGCCCTGTGAGCTTCTACCCACCTTTTGGCGTCCGGAAGAGCTTCAATTGTTGGCTGGCACTACTCTGGCGCCGGCTGTCGCTGCGAAGTTGAAAAGCCTGCGCCGTGAATATGATCTTCTTTGCGAGTCTGCCGCTCGCACACGATGGTACAATCTGGTGGAAGGACTTCTTTCATTTGAAGATTGGCTGGTAAGCTCCGCTCCCTATATGGCACCCCCGCTGCTGCCCACATTGCTCACCTACTGCTCTCACAGCATGTGGATGCCATGTTCCGATCGCGAGCCTTGGACTTCTATGGCTCTTGCATGATTCCAGGCATGGATTTGGCCAGTCATGCTGCCGGCGATGGTACTGTTGCTCGCTATGACCGCGAAGATGGGTTGGTATGATTTAGATACCATCACGCTGCAATACTAACGTTTCAGGCGATACTTTCTTCGATTGATAGAGGGCAAATCCCTTCAGGAAGGACAAGAAGTCACCATCACTTATGGTGACGAAAAAGGAGCTTGTGAGAGTAAGTCCTTTTTTCTACCTGGATCAAAGACGTGAAAATAATCTCTCAAACAGTGCTGTTCTCCTACGGATTCATCGACGATTCCATGGACACAGCAGAGACTTTGTTCCTCAGCCTAAGCATACCGGATAGCGACCCGTCGAGAACAGCAAAAATGAAGATTGCAGACTGCGCTCCAGGATTCAAGATCATCGATGTGGTCGGCAGCGGAAATGTCGATGACGAGTCCAACACAGAGGATGAGATTGATTGGAAGGGTGACTTTATCTGGCTTATGTGCGCTGGCAAAGAGGACGGACTCTGTTTTGAGCTCGCGAGAACAGTCGACCAGGACGAGCCAGAGCTCCAAGCCACTTTCCAAGGCATCGAACTGAAGCATGGAGCCAGCGATCTAAAGCGTCACCTTGCGCAGAGCGACCTATGGCCTGTATACAGGCTACGTGCTGTTGTAATCCTACAGCAGCGAGTATTCGACCAGCTGCAGCTGTTGTACAGTACCCAGGAAGACTTCGACGCTGTGCCGCATGGTGACGCAGCAGACGTCAGGAGCTTTCCTTATGCATCAGCCTTGAAGTTGAGGAGATTAGAATTCGAGCTTCTTGAGAAGGCGTACGGAGACTTTGAGAGACAGGTAAGTCTGCTGCCCTTGCTCAACTCTGCCTTTCTAGGCACAATATCTGTGCAATTGCGAATGCAAGATAGTGGTGTGCATACATCTATAATGGATCGTGGTATGGCCGAAGCCGCAGCTCGGAGCTGTGCGAGCGCGCACTTTTCGCAACCAGGACTAACTCCCAAACAGAAACTAGCTTTGGCAGACGATCCAGTTGTGAGACGATACTTGTCCGATATGAATGCTCAATCCCCGGAAGAGGACTTCGCATGATCTGCTTTCTATATTGAGCGTCTCAGTGGTAGTTATCCGAAGTCAGCTTCCCCACGAAGCTTAAGCTGCCCAGTATGCTGGGATGCTGGGAATGATGAGACAACCTGCTCTGATGTCTGTGTGTCGCAAGGATACATGATGAGATGAAAAGCGGAGCTCAAGTCAGATTTGCGGTTGACAAGACGATGGAGACCTCGGTACAGCACTTCTACGCAGACTGCTCTTCAGCATGGGCCGTGAAAGGTGCAGCCGCCATGCGTTAGCTATCTGCATCTGCATATGAGCCGCGCAGCTTACTGGGCATTGGCGATTTGGGTCTGCTATGATATCACACTTGGCTGGACAAAAGATGTTCTCGAACCCTTTGACAAATAAGAGCATAGCTGGTCCCAGCTCTGGTTGATTGCCCCGCTCTCCCTCGCTAACGTTGCTGTGCCTAGGTTTTAGTGGACAACAAACGACACTTTGCTAAATCATCAGAAACTTCACGCAATCGACTGACCAGATTTGCAACTGCTTGCTGAGAGATGTTCGCTCGTAGGGATGTTGGTCAACGGAATCGGGCCCTCGGAAGAATCTAGCATATATCCAATGCCTAGAATATAGGCGAAGTTCTGCCCTGTATCCGTCCGTTTAGTTCGGATATCGGCGGACTGGAAGGTTTCGAGCTTGTTAATGGCCAGAATATCACTCCCCACTTCTCACCTGAGAAGAAGTCTATGCCCCAACCAACCAATTGAGACGAGCTTCCGTCACTTGTGAAGGAACCGTCTGCATGGGGCCCTCCGCAAATTGATCGTGTGAGGCCCAAGCCGTCGCCAGTGTGGTACCGAGCGCATGTCCCAGTGCTGCCCCGGATTGTCCCATTGATGGCGCAAATCGCCCTCAAACACACTGCCGTCTTGCAATCCTCTCAACTCCAAGCAACCTTTATTCTGCCCAAAACAACGTCTGAGCTGAGCACTACCATTAGACTTTCAACCTGCGGCTGGATGAGCTCGACGACTCAATCCCCGCTCTCCAGCGAGACTTGGAACTAAATATACCACCTTCGGACTGCTAGCGGACGCTGGCGACTCTCCCACCATGCCGGGCATACTTCCAATGAAAGTCATCAAGGTCGGGACAAATGCGCAGACAAGAATTGCACAGGCTTGTGACAGGTAAGGTCAGCGAGGCGAGTGAATCAACTCCATCTCACTGGATCACAGATGTCGAAGCAAGAAGATACGATGTGATGGAATTCGACCCTGCTGTTCGCAGTGCGCCAATGTTGGCTTTGAATGCAAGACGAGTGATAAACTGAGTAGGCGAGCTTTCCCAAGAGGATACACAGAGTCACTGGAAGAGCGAGTGCGAGGTCTGGAGTCAGAAGTGCGAGAGTTGAAGGAACTTTTGGATGAGAAGGATGAGAAAATTGACATGTTATCGCGCATACATTCACAATCTTCTCATCCGATACAATTACCGTCACCGCGACGACCGTCTACTGCTTCAGTAGATTCGCCTCTTGGGAAGGCGGAATCTCTACCGAAAGACGACGTTTTTCGAGTACAACAGTCGCCTTATCTTCTTGATGAGGATGGAGCAGACTCTTATTTTGCGGGTACTTCTAGCGGGCGTACATTCATTGAAGCGTTCAAGAATCGAGTTCAAGAAACGGGGCGTTCCACACAGGACATCGACACCAATGTCATGCTCATGAGCAGCGTGAAGGAAAGGGCCGGAATACTTACTCCGACGTCGCCTGTCACGTTCAAAGCTCCTTCGAGAATGCTGTCTGACCAGCTCGTCAACATTTTTTTCCAAGAATGGGCACCATTATTTCCGGTCCTACACCGTCCGACTTTCTTGACCCTCTACGAGCGATATGTGGCGGAACCAGAATCCGTCACCGATAAAGGAGAACTTGCACAGCTTAACCTTGTCTTTGGCATCGCTTGCGTGTCAAGCGGCACACGGTCGTCACCAGACCTCGACAGCTTCGAATCGCAGTGGAAGGCTGCGCTGGACTCTATCATCACGGCTAATACTATGACTACTTTACAAGTGCTGGTTCTCGCACAACTGTTCTGCGTACAACAAGGTGACTATACACGACTGCTATCTTACAAAGGTCTTTCCACCACTCTATGCACTCGCCTCGGCCTACATCAGTCGCAGAAACGCTTCGCTCTGGGCACATTGACTTGCGAAACCCGGAAGAAGGTATTCTGGACGCTATACACCGTCGATAGCTTCACGGCTGTCATCCTCGGCCTTCCCAAACAACTAAAGGACGATGATGTCCACTGCGAATTCCCGGTCGACGCTGATGACGAGTACGTAACTGAGCGCGGGTTTCAGCCCACGCTACCTGGAGAATCGACCAAGCTATCTAGCGCTCTGGCACTATTTCGAGCTGCTCGAATACTCTCCAGAGTCTTGGAGGACGTCTATCCTGCGAAGACATCGTACGACCTGTCATTGAAAAAACTCGCTGAGCTCTCCGATGAGCTGGAGACGTGGTGTGCTGGTCTTCCGCCACATCTCCGCCTACAATTTGCTCAAGACAAACCGAGCACCGGAACCATTAGCAGCCGGTCACCTCTGCTTTCACTCGCTTATCACTACATTCGTGCTCTCATACATCGGCCGGCCATTTGTGCCTCCTTAGGCTCCAGGTCGCAGTCTTCAATGATCGCCATGGCCAGCTCGTGCAAGCATATGATCCAGATCGTACAACTTCTGGAAGAGAGAGCCCTCAGCTTCTCTTTCTGCTTGAACAGAGACGAGATGCTTGTGCTCTCTGGCTTTGGTTTATTGTTCCAGGTAAGATCGATCTTCCTCACGATTGGCCATCTCGTATTGCTTTTGCTGACAGCCAGGGACAGGGCATCGGGCTTGAACCTGCTTCGAAGATTCTGAAAGACAACAGCAAAATGCTAACGGCTCTAATCAACGTGTTGAAGAAGGCAGAGGCACCAAATGCTACTTCTTTTGAACAGGTCTCGAACTCATTCGTTCCACCACAAGCTCCTGTCATCAAAGCGAAAACACCACCCTTATCGCGGCACAACTCCGAAGAGGGAGAGTCCAGTCACAGCTCGCCCTCTTCGACTCGCAAGCAATTGAAGGCTCTCGCATCGCGATTCAGCGCTGCAGCGAAGCCTAGGCCGGATGCTAGCGGCGAAGGAGGTCGTCGAGCAACAGCGCATCAGATCAGCCTCCATCCCCGCAATGCACAAACGCAATCAGAGCCGTCCTTGCAGCCTGCCAACTACAGTCCATCCTCAATCTCTCATTCGGAGCCCGCACGATCTCCAATCAATCAGTATAGTCGACCAACATCGACTGCCGCCACAAGACCCTCTGCTCCACCAGCGTTGCAACCGAAGCCCAAACCACCATCCCCAACGACAAGGCATACGAATTTGGACTATCTTTCTTTCGGAAACGAGCCAGATGCCACCCCTCAGGTTGGCAACGTACCCACACAACCGATAAAGAGCGAGCCTGGCCCAAGCGACTGGGAAAAACTCCTTGGAAGCCTCGACAACGGCGACACGAACATTTACGATGCATGCTATGGCGGTCCACCGGTAGATGCCTTACTTGATGCGCCCACTCTCGAAATCCACAATAACGCATCTACGCCAGTAATCAGCAGCGAATCTGTCGCCTGGCATAATGACCTGTGGACTCTGTGTCAAAGTGACACCAATACGAGTTCCAATTCTGGCCTCACTCCGCAAAGCGGTGGCCACCCCGCAAGCATTGTATCTTTCTCGACCGACGAAGGTTTGAGCGGTTCGGAAGACTTCACGACTTCACAGGAATGGACGAATCCTGCGGCGGGGCGCTCGAGTAGTGAGACGTTTCGTGGAATTGTTATGCCGGCTGAAGACTCGCTCTTCCTATGACGGTGATAGCAAGCCATTGGGAACTGCTGTCTGAACGATTTCGAGATTGAGTGAGGGCGACAAAGACTCGGATACGCAATATCTGTCTTGGATATTCAGGACTTTTGGGTGGTTTATCTGACTTTTGGCTTGTTTGCGAAACGCAAGATACCATGGGACGTGTAGCTTGTTAGTGTTTTTAAGAGAGCGGACCATGAGGATGTCTTGGATTCATCTTGTGCTGTCTTTTGTGTCGGATTGTTTTTCTCAAAGCAGATTGGAGCTGGAGCTTCGAGAACACTGCACTCATTTCGAAAAGCGTAGTATCTGCGGATTCTAGAACAAGCCACTGCAGATTGTGGGTCCACGTGCGTAGTGTAGGACGACCTCGTGGCTCGTCGCGCCGTGCTACGTGCTACGTGCTACAACCAACTTTTTTGGTGTGGTGGGGCCAGTTATGACGTACATTGGGCGCGTGAATGAAAGAATAGTGCACGCGTGGCGTGGCAGATATATAGATTCTGTCAATCGACTTGGCTAACTGAACCTTTCTGTGTGAACAAACTATCTACCTCGAAAAAAATAACTCGTCATCAATCACAACACAACGCCATCATGTCGGACAAGGAAACTTCAACTCTCCAATCCACCATCGACGCTGTGTCGGGCACAGTCCAGAGTGCTTGGGGTTCGCTCACAGGCAGCACGAAGGATCAGGCGGAGGGAGAGCGTGAGTCGAACATCATCATCGTTGTATCCATCACTCACTAACAGTATATCTACAGAAAAGAAAGACATCGCCGAAGCTCGCGATGAAGTCTCCAAAGCCGGCGCCTCAGTCGGAGGCTTCTCCGTCTCAGCGTCCGGCGTGGCAGCCAACGACCCAAAACGACAAGAAGGCAGCTGGAACCAAACCGTGGGCGCAGGCAAAGAATTCGTCGGCGGAACCCTCGGTCTCGAAGGGTTGAAGCAAGAAGGTCAGAAACAAAACGAACAAGGCAAGGCCCAGGAAGCGGAAGGCCAGCTCAACGATTTGGGATCCGGTATCAAGGACCGGATTTCCGGAACTGTGGGCGGTGCTGTTGCGGGTTTGACGGGGGATCGGGAGGAGCAGGCGAGACGGGAGGCTCAGCATGATCAGGGGAAGACTTTGCAGAGGGGGGTGGAGAGTGAGGTGCAGAAGCAGGCGGAGGCGGAGGCGGAGCAGAGGTCTTCGTAGAGGTCAGAATTCGACAGCATGAGGATTACAGATCGATGGAGGACAGTACGGAATACGGAGACTTGAGTTTGGTAATACCCCGTGGAGGTTTGTGATTTAGATGGCTCTTGAGAGAGAGAGGGTCAAGGCTACTGTAGTATGATGTTTTCAACTCCAAGAACACACAGTCATCAACTTACACTCGGACTCGGCCTTGGATATAGAATGTACTTCTCTTCTGTACACTGTTGTGGCTCATAGAAAGGTGGAAGGATTAGAACTATATATAGTATATATATGTGTTATCGACGGCTGCCGGGCCGGGCATGATGCGTGGTTTGGAGCCGCTCCACACCATCATCGATTACCCACCGAACAAAGCCTGCCGGCGCCGGCCCCAGAGCCGGTCACAACGACTGAAGGAAGGATGGGCGTCCAGCCGGTCAGACAGATGTCCAAATCTCGACAACAATCCCGCATAACGTTATCTGGCCACCATCTCGTCCATCACGATGGCCTCGACTAAGACCAGTGCGACCGTCCTCCATCTTATCACCATCTTTCAGCGGTAGCCATCCATCTCCGTTGAACGCCGAACATAGACCGCATCGCATATCATCTACCACTCTACGAATCCACGTGTTCTTCTCTGCGGCGCACATGCTGTAATTCCAACATCTCGCGAAGCCGCCATGGAAGATCGAAAATCGCAGACTAGCTCGCCTCACAATGGCGGCCAAATCACGCCGCGTACTGCAATGGGCGAGGCACTCGCGAGGACGCCTTTGCGACGAGATTCATTCGATCGCCCAAATGGAATGCCCATGCTCGACAGCACACCGCGACGATTTTCCACAGGCGCCGCCCGAGTCCCTATGCCTGCACCCCAGGTCATGGTAGCCTACACTGTTGCCGAAGAGATTCTCGAGGAGAAGCGGTCGCGAACGCCGCGAGAACAGGAAGATCTTTCGGCAACCAGGGCGAGATTCAGCATGAGTTCGGATGTACCGTCCATCGCAAGGCTAGCTGCTCTGACCAGCCCTTGCTTTTTCCACAAAAGATTTGGAGATGCCGTGAATATAGAAAAGGTGCTGGAGGAAATCAAAGGCGACGATCAACTGTCGCATAGCAGACTCATGCAGACTGCTGCGAGCGTGAGGGAGGTCTCTAGACAGCTTCAGAGACGACCTCTCAAACGTGCGGTACGAAACGTCATGATTGTTACGAAAGCGCGGGACAATACACTCGTCACTCTCACGAGAGAACTGGCAGAATTTCTGCTCGCCACTCCGCGATACGGGAAGGATGTCGGTGTCAATGTTTGGGTAGATTCTAAACTGAGGAAATCGAAACGATTCGACATGGACTCGTTGTTCGCGCAAGACGAGCGGTTTGCGGACATGCTGCGCTTATGGACACCTGCCTTGTGCTTGGAACGTCCAGAGTTATTTGACTTGGTCATCACTCTTGGAGGAGACGGCACCGTCCTATACACTTCTTGGCTATTTCAACGCATCGTGCCACCGGTGCTGTCATTCTCACTGGGCTCGCTGGGTTTCCTGACGAACTTCAATTTCGAGATGTACAAGGAGCAGCTGAATCGTGTCATGGGCGAACAAGGCATGAGAGTCAACCTGCGAATGCGCTTCACATGCACCGTATACCGATCAGCTGCTTCATCGGTAGTGGCGTCATCGGCCGCATCGACAACTAGTCTATCAACAGCAACGAGCAACTACGGCAGCAGTGAAAGTCAGAGCACCAAGATTGAAGGCGAGACGCACGAAGTCTTGAACGAATTGGTTATTGACCGAGGTCCAAGCTCTTACATCTCCAGCTTGGATCTCTACGCAAACGATAGTCTGCTCACTCGGATCAGCGCAGACGGTATCATTCTGAGTACGCCTACAGGAAGCACGGCATACTCGCTGAGCGCCGGAGGAAGCCTGGTTCATCCAGACATCCCGGCTATATTACTAACCCCCATATGTCCCCACACACTATCCTTTCGACCAATGCTGCTGAACGACGACATGGCATTGAAGGTGGCGATACCTTCCACTGGCAGAGGTGGAGCATTTGTATCATTTGATGGCAAGGGTCGTGTAGAGCTTGGTCGTGGCGACGAGGTGGTTGTCCGGGCTTCGCAATACCCCTTCCCCACCGTTATGGGCCAACCTCTGGAGTGGTTTGACAGCATATCTCGCACATTACGCTGGAACACTCGCGCCGCGGAGCAGAAAGGCTGGGCAGGTGGTGCCGAGGGCGACGGAGCGGAGTTTGTCGAAACTGATGAGAGCGTCAAACACGACGTACGCAAGGAACCGGAATTTGATATAGATTTTGATGACGATGGTGAAACTGTGAGTGCTAAAGACAGCGGCTATGGCAATTCGGAGTCTGGAGGCATTGGTGCATCGGATTTGAGGTGGGCTTGAGAGAGCTGCATATTGCTCACGAGCGACTGTGAAATAGCTAACGACATTCGACACGGCCGCACATATGATAGAGTCATCAGGCAAACAAGAGGTTGTTGGTAGAGAATTAGTGTTTGTTGGAATCTTCACATGTCAAGTTTCTATTTTGCGCGCGTTGAACGGTAGTTCTACTCAACGCACCCATGCGGCGATCCTCGACACGACACGACACAAATTCACTCTCGTTGAGAACTTTCGTCCTCTTCTAAATTCTTACGCCTATCATACGAAGCACGTATCCGACCCACAAAACAATGCCCACCCAGTCTGACTGTACTGCGCTATCTGGCGGTGTTCCTTGGACATGCCGACGCCCCTACTTCGGCCTCCGAATAGACTTCTGTTCTCGATTCTCTGGTCTGGCTAGGAGTGAAAGCGGGTTTGTCCTTCCAAATCCTTGCTTCTCAAGAACTCAGTGACTTAGTGGTAGTAACTCGGCGTCTAGAAGTGTGAGGTAGAGATGCTGTAGCTTGCTTGTTGTTGTTAGCTGCGGCAATTGTTTCTCGCCAAGTTCTGACTTCTGATCGCGAGTTGCTCATTCATCGACTATTCTAAGGAGAGAGTGGGTCGCTGATACGTACGATTGCTCTTTCTCTCCTACTATGATTCGGTGAGTAAGATACGACGCTCTTGCACAACTAACTACTCCTTGCTCAACGTTTCTTATCTTTTCATCTTCCATTCTGGCCGGCATTTCGCGGCTCGATTCGCACGCACGACTTCGATCGGACGTTTAAGGGCATCCTTGTCAACTCCAGCTCAGCGAACTGCATTCTATTCCGAATCGGATAACTTCAACTACAAGTTTAAACAACTACACACGAGGACCCTCGTCGTTCATATCTTGTCTGTTTGCCGTACAGTCGACATCTCATCCTCCCTGCACCCTGACTGGTTTTCCATGCGATCTCATTCCTTTGTTTAAGCACGAGGAGTGCATGTCATCCCTCGACTTGCACGCCACCGCATCCGGATCATACCACTCCGCCTACCTTTGTTTATCCAAGATTGACATCACTGCACATTACTGGTACTAGCAATCATGAGTACTCCAGTTGAGGAGTTGAACAATCCTTTCGGCGATGCGCCATTGATGTCTGATCCAGGAAGATACTCGCCATTATCGAGTGGCGTTGTGACCAGTGCTGAGGGCGCAACACCGAGCAATGCAGCTCAGACGAAGGGGAAAAAGAAGGTTGGCTTTACCGGTGAGGCGGAAGCTGGCGATCGCGTAGCAGAAGGCTTCTCATCGCCCGGATCGAACAGTCCTTACTTCGGTGGCTCGCCTGCTGAGAGCGGAAGCAACACCCCTTCTCGAACCCACACTCGGAATAGTAGTGGCGACCAACTGCTTGGCTTTGCAGACAGATCTCATCTCCCGGAGCTGTCACAACAGCAGACCGATGCTATTCGAGGGTCCTTAGCGGAGAGTCTTAGCGTCCCTCGTCCACGCCCTGCGATCCGACGTGGCGACAGACGTGTGTCCCATGTGTCTGATGAGGAGCTCGTTGGACGAGATGATGATGGCAAAAGAGCTCATCGGCAGGCTCGCGCACGCGAAGCTCTTGAGAGAGGCAAGCGACTGGAGCATGAGGAGATCGTCTCAAGACACGCATCTCCTGAAAGATCTCGGATCCCAAGTATCAAAGCAGGCGATATCCTCCTGACAGATTTGAGCCATCCACCAGATTCTGATGACGAGGAACATGCCACCCTCGAAAGTCAACCCAAACAGCATCATGAGGAGGCGTACAAGCTCGTCAGAAGACATACCGACGCTCGACGTGCGTTTCACGTCAAATCGTTCGATGTGGACCCTGGATCAGGTAAGTTCACTGTTATCGATGTTGCCTTTGCCATTGCATCGGAAAGCATGACTCGATATCTTTATGACACCCCCACGGCATCGTAATCTGATATCTCTGGCTATCTCAACGATGTCTCGCTACTCTCTTTACTTTCCCAACCGATAAATTCTGACACCATGAAACAGGAGTCCGATCCGGCGCCGTCACTCCGACCGAAGAACAAGACTTCATCCAAGATTATCAACCACGACCCCAGCACTATCGAGGAGGCATTTTAGGTGCTCTTCTCAAATTATACAACGAAGACGGTGGCCATGGCAGGTCGTCCTCGCATCACAGATCTCGGAGTGGCGATCGTGGAAGCTGGTCCGCGATGTCGTCGCCTCACAGCTCTCCTCCCGAGAGTGGCACCAATACACCTCGCCGGCACTGGTACTCACACAACAAGCAAAAGCGACATTCCACCACGTCACTCGCTCATCTCATCGGTTCGTCGGCAAGTATAGGCGCTCCAGCAGTGTCGAATCTGGGTGAGGAGGTGTCGAGAAGGCTGCGAGAACAGCAGGAACAGGCGTCCAAGAAGCGACCGGGCATTGGGAAGCGCGGGATCAGTGGTCCTCTTTTCAATCGCTTTGGCAAGCTGCATGCCGAAGAAGAATTTCGAATTACCAATCATATTGCCGAGACGATTGCGAGGCAGAAGTATTTGATGAAGCTGTGTAGAGGCTTGATGCAGTATGGAGGTAACCAACAACCACGCTTCTCTCCCTCCCTGCATTATGAGAATCACCTTTGCTGACTCCTTCTCTAGCACCAACTCACCGACTGGAAGAATACATGCGTATGAGCGCTCGAGTTTTAGAGATCGATGCTCAATTCCTCTACATCCCCGGCGCCATGATCATGTCTTTCGAGGACCAAGATACGCACACATCAGAAGTCAAGCTCGTCAAGGTAGCTCAAGGTCTGGATCTGGGAAAGCTGCGAGACGTCCACGAAGTGTACAAGGAAGTCGTGCACGACAAGGTCGGTGTCGAAGAGGCCACGCGAAGACTCAAAGACGTGATGACCCAAAAAGACAAATTCAGCCGCCTCGTCCGGATCCCAGTGTACGGTCTAGCAGCCGTATGCGTCGGACCCTTCGCCTTCCAAGCCCGACTAATCGATCTACCCATCGCCTTCATTCTCGGCTGCATCCTAGGAATCTTACAACTCTACATCGCCCCCCAATCGGATCTATACTCCAACGTCTTCGAAATCTCCGCCGCCGTCATAACTTCCTTCCTAGCCCGAGCCTTCGGCAGCATTCGGAACGGCGAACTATTCTGCTTCTCAGCCTTAGCCCAATCCTCCATCGCCCTAATCCTCCCCGGCTACACCGTCCTCTGCGCCTCCCTCGAACTCCAATCCCGGTCCATCGTCGCCGGAAGCGTTCGAATGGTCTACGCCATCATCTACTCCCTATTCCTCGGCTTCGGAATCACAGTCGGCACAGCAATCTACGGCATGATCGACAGCAACGCAACCTCAAAAACCTCATGTTCCACCCCCCTCCCGGACTACTGGTTCTTCTTCTTCGTCCCAGGCTTCACCATGTGCCTCATAATCATCAACCAAGCAAAATGGAAACAAGCCCCAATAATGATGATCATAGCGTTCGCAGGATACATCGTAAACTACTTCTCCTCGCAACGTTTCGCGGGCAACACCCAAGTCTCGAATACCCTCGGCGCCCTCGCGATCGGCGTCATGGCGAATTTATACTCTCGCATTGGGGCACGAGTCGAGAATCAAGCTCTCGATATCTGGGAACTCACCCTCCGTCCCATCTGGAAAGCGTTCGGAACCCGGATCTTCGGACTCGAAACTCGGCGACAATCATCTTCGAAGGAACTCGAAGAAGGAAATCTCTCCGCGGATAACGACAACGAATCCCTCTTCCAACCCGCCGCCCGTCGCGTCGGATACTCTCTCGCAGCAGCAGCCATGCTCCCGGCCATTTTCGTCCAAGTCCCGAGCGGTCTTGCGGTGAATGGATCTTTGGTTTCGGGGATTGCGTCTGCGAATCAGATTACGGGGAATACGAGTTCCGGGGGCACGCAGGTGCTTAATACTAGCACGATCGTGTCTGATAATTACAATAATAATGAGGCGTTGAATAGTATTGCGTTTAGTGTGGGGTATAGTGTTATACAGGTTGCGATTGGGATTACGGTGGGGTTGTTTTTGAGCGCCATTGTCGTTTATCCGTTTGGGAAGAGGAGGTCGGGGCTTTTTAGTTTTTGAGGGGTTGTGAACTTGTGAGATTTTATTAGCGTGGAGAGATTGATACCCTGATAGATCGTGTTTGAGGATAGTCGTAAATGATGAACGATTTTGATCATGTCTTCGTACGCTGTTTTTTGAGGGAGGATTAGATTGATTCGGTGCTCTCCCTCTCTCTCTTGGTGGTCGAAGCAAAACTGAGAGCAGCCCTATGGGAACTAGGTGCTATTGCAGAGAACGACCCAATCGTCGAAGCGAGCGTGGACACAGCCTTGGGGATATGAGGAGAAGTCGTCGGGAAACAGGGGTGAAAATCGGGCGGGCGGGCGGGCTAATGGTACAAAGTTCAATTGTCCTACTGCTATCGGCATACAAGTCAAAACGCGTCGCTCAAAAACATATTCCACGCCTCAAACGGTATGCATCGAATTCCGCCCATGCCTCGCATCGTACCGCCACCATGGGTCTTTCGCGTCGCGCAGGGAAGTGGGAAAGCTGAAATGGGTATCGCAGAGTATTATCGTTGCTCGTATCGCTCATGTCTCGCTTCGCGGGTGGCCTAGTACTTGAGGATGATGTACCTGGTAGCATAAACGGTTAGTATGGGACGAAGCGAACACTGATGATTATGGGTGCAAACGTACAGAGCGTGGATGATGCCTGGAATGTAACCCAGAATGGTCAGGAGGATGTTGATGAGGAGGTCAGCGCCGCAGCCACGCTCGAGGAAGACACCGAGCGGTGGGAGCAGGATGGCGAAGATGATCTTGATGATGTCGCTGGTGTGGGCGTTAGCAGGATTTCTTGGGTGTATACCGTCACCCGCGCGCTTCCGCATGAAGGGAGGAGGCAGTTGCAACGCTGCTGCATCAGCATCGGGTGTAGATAGCTTGCTTACCTTCCGGTGAAAGGCATGATGGGTGGTTGTTGTGGTGTTTAGCTGGGGAGATGTGTCTGTGGTGGTTGCGAGGCTTGGGTTGTTGTCGGAGGTTGAGTGTGGAGTGGGCGTTTGGTTTGCGGTTGGACAAGCGAGGCAGGCAGAGAATGCGACGTCTCTTAATAAGGTACGTTGGTGAGCACATACATCACACGCATAGTCCAAGCCCGTAGTCCGAGCCCGAGCTTTGCTGATTCTACGTCATGCTGTATGCACCGGCCATCCGCTGCCAAGGCAACATGCACTAGGTTCGATAGATTCCGAAAATTGCATGGGCTCGTTCGTTCGCGACTACGCTTGCTTTCTCTATCTCGCCATAATCTAATCCATTTACGACCGCCAAACATCGTGAAGCTACGCAGCCACCGTCCCCGGCATCGCCACCATCGAAAAGCTGGCGCTTCATGACGAAGCCAGAGAGGCTGGGCAAACAGGTACAAGGCTCTGGGCAAACAGTCAAAAGCTCTGGGCAGCGGTAAACCTGCAACACATCCTTGAGGCTTGACCGTCTGACGACGCATGACGGATGTCGGGTGATCCTGGCCCTTCCGGAACAAGGCCGAATCATAACTTGCGTCAAGCGCCACTACATTTCTGTTTCGAGCCTTGTCATTCGGAAGTGTGGCACGCCTTGCATTGTTGTGGCGGAATTCCATGGCGTTTGCTATCATAGCCACATCATCGCAACTTGCCGAACAACCTCGTGGTCGCTGCTCTTTGTCGATCTGTGGCGTTGAGTGTGCGTTACGAGTATGATGAGTTGGAGTTCAGGCTGCCCGAGGCTGAGCTCCTTACACGTGAGCTATGAAGTTGTGTTAATCTCATTGCTGTACTAGTGTAGGCTTCGGTATGAAGCTCAGCATAATATTCACTGTAAAGCCCAGTGGACTCCTTTAATACATTTCATGCTCATAGTCGTAGCACGTCTTTTTCTGATCACGAAGCGTGCCCCTCCGATGCACCTTCCGTGAACGCCTTGTATGGTATATCTCAAATCATGCCGAAACCAATGCATTCCGATCTTGACCTCCTCGATCTGCACATGCCTCACCGCAGAGCCTTCTCCGCGAACTTTGGAAGTATGAAAGCAGCCTCGTGAACCTTGCTGCTGTAGTATTTGAAGAGCTTGTCTTCTTCTGCCTCACTGACAGATCTCAATGGCTTCTTGACATCGCGCTTGCCATCCTTGGTGCAGACCATGAATCCAATCTGGCCACTAGGATAGGTGGGGATTGTGGTCCAGCCATACTCGGCTACCGGGAAGACCTGCTTGCAAGACTTCTTGAGGTCAACAATCATACTCATGTGAAGCCATGGGTTCTCGGCTATGTGATGTTAGCAAGTCAATGGACATACCACCGCGCACTGGATGGTTGGGAAAGGGCTTACAACCTTGGGTGGTGATGACACCGCCCTCACGCAAGGCGTCGTGCAGAAGCTCAAAGTATGGCTTCTGGAACAGAGCCTCGGCGGGGCCCTCTGGGTCAGAGCTGTCCGTGATGATTACATCAAAGCTGTCCTTGTAGTCTGCGAGGAACTTGAAACCGTCGCCGACGTGAACCTTGACCTTTGGATGCTGGAAGCCAACACTCATGCCAGGCAGGTATTTCTTGCTAAGACGAATGACTGCCTCGTCAATGTCGCATAGGACCGCCTCTTCTACACTCTCATGCTTTACCACCTCACGCAACACTCCACCGTCACCTCCGCCGATGACGAGAACCTTCTTTGGGTTTGGGTGGGAGAACATGCCCAAGTGTGTGATCATCTCTTGGTAGGAGTACTCATCGCGTTCAGTGCATTGGATCACGTTATCGAGGACGAGAACCATGCCGTAGTCGGAGCTCTCAAAGATGAGAACATCTTGATACTTGCTCTTCTCGTGGTGCACCACCTGGTTCACTCTGAGCGTCATGGCCTGGCCAGGCCACATGTCGCTGATCTCGCGGAACCATCCATCCTTGATGGTGGGGTGAGTGATCTCGGCCATCGTGTATGTCGCGGAGCGGTGGGTGGAGGGCAGGTGTTGGTGTTTGTGAAGGGTGTTCGTCAAACGGGCGCGAGGAAGGTGGAGGAGTTTGAATATGTGTTGTCGGGAACTTGATTGCATATATGCAAACAGTACCTGCTTTGAAAATTGTTTCACTACACATCCCACTTTAGCTTTGAGTTGGCAGGGTCTCTAGCTTCATCTTTTCACCCCACTACCGCACATGGCTGTCTTGGCATTGGCACTTTCGACAGTCTCGAGTGGCTACAGTTTCCAAAGGCACACTAGTCAAAGTCTATGAAAACCTGAGGGCCAAATGAAAGATTGTTCAGCTGTTCAGACTCCACAGTAGGTCGGCTGCAGCGTTCAAGGGTTTCACTCAAGCCACTGACGCTCCTCAACACACGCCGTGACACGCATGAATTACTGTAACCGTCTGGCCAGCAAAAAAAAACTCATTTCCACGACGAATGCGGGTTTGGGAACTCGATAGGAGTAACCGGAAGTTTGAATACTTGGGGAAAAATGCCGACATCCAGAGGCTCCCGGTACAAATGAACAGCGTTCAGAATGGCTTGCTTTTCGGTCTATAATGCAACTCTCGAGGTGCAGGAGGTCGTGCTTAGATTACCAGAGTGGCACTGTTATCGAATCGGCGGAGAATCATCAGTCTTTGCCACAATGTCAATTGATTGCTCTCATGACACCTCTGGTTGCTAGTGATTACAACTCCGAAGCGGCAGAAATGGACATTCCAGTGTGTATGGCCGAAGATCCAATATGCAATTTGTCTATGAAGGCCGTCTTTTTCGATCGTCTCAATTGTATTGCTGCTCCAGCACTCGCTGTTGGTCTTCCGCTCGTCCTGAGATAATGTCGGGCCCCGGCTCGTACTAGACTTCCAACATCCGGACATAGCTACGTGATACCACGGTGCAGAGTTTGCTTTCCACTGCAAGTGCTTTGGATGCGAAGTTCCCTGAAAAGTTGGCGAGAAAATGGGTGATAACGACAATTCTTTTCGAAGGCTCTGTGGTCGAAATATCTTTCAAAGATTTCCGAAGCCACTGCAGATCTTTTGCATATTCGTGGTTGTGTTGAGCGACAGACCAGCCTTCGATTCTTGCGAAGTCTCTCGTTAGTCGTGTGCACTGGCGACTGATATGAGAGTATAATGTGCAGCCGAGAAGGATTGTGTTTGTTCCAGGTATTGCCCATTTCTCGCGATTGAGGAGGGTGAGTTTTCCACCAGCTTTCGCATCCAGACAGAGTCGTCTGGCCAACGCTAAACCTTTCTCATAGGAGCAGCCGTAGAACTCGTGATTCCCGAGAATAAGGAACACTCGCTCAAAATCAGCACATTGGGTGAATATGAAATTGTCGTACTTTGGGGTGTCGGAAAGGCGACCAACGTCTCCGCCAAGTATCAAGTATGGAGCGCTTCTGACAATCTGGAAATTATAGTCGCAATTTTCAAGGTGTAGATCTGACATGTATTGAAGGCGCATAGTTGTACTGAAGTGCATGGTCACGAGAAGAAGGGGAGATCCGATCCGAGAAATGAATTGCGGCGGCAAAGCGAACCGCCAGCTAGCGGAAGGCGGAGATAAGTAGCCGAAGTTATGTAGTCTCAGCCTCTTAAGAGTAGGTATAGAATATAGTTTAGCGTATATATATTCGCGTGAATAGTAAACCTAAGCTTGATATCAACCAGTATCGTCTAGCCTTCTATACAGATGTATCTGATACCGCATATTCTCCAATTCGATCGGATACTGCAGACCCTGCGGAAGTCTGAACCACCTTGAATCATCCGATACCAGCTTCTGCCATTGAGGACGTCCGTCATCCTTTCCTTTCCATCCTGTCCCTACGAGCGTGTAGTCCAGCAGCCACTGCATGGGATACTTCTTCTCTGCTCCATTGACTGATACGGCCGAGTAACTCCCAGGACTATCCACTACGAGTAGGTACGCTCCAGCGCGTAGCTCTGCTGTCAATCGAGCCAGGAGTTTCTGAGTCTTCGGGATGGAAGCTGTGTAAAGTTCGTTTAGAGTGAACATCAGCGTGACCATGTCTGCCTTGCTGAACAACTCATGAGACTTTTCATCTTCCAGTGCAAGAGCATCTAGTTGCTGGAATTCGATTTGGTATGACTCCTGCTCTACTAAAGCGGTGTTGGCCTCTCTAGCTGCGGCGGAAGCATACTTGGAAAGATCTGGTGGTATCGTCGACGCTCGGAACAAGTCTGAGACAACCGAGTTCCAAGCTGCGATGTCGACGAAGGTGGAATTGACTCTTTGGAAGGGTAAGGCATCTTCCTTCTGCGAGATCCAGCCACCGATGGCCACGAGTTCCGCTCCAGCTCCGCCTCCGACACAGCAAATTCTGAAGTCCTTGCCCTCGTCCGTGATTTGGGAGTCCTGTTCAAGAAACAAATCTTTGGAGATATCAGATAGGATCTGCATGTAGCCTAGCGCCCGACTTGGACTCCATCTTGCTGCGTAGACATTGAGATATTCTGCTGTGCCGAATGCCTTGGCAAAATCGCGTGTGTAGAGGTGGCCCTTGACTTCTTGCACAATCGCAGTGGAATGCTCCTGTGGCTTCAGAGCGTTGCGGAAAACGTCCAAGCACTTTTGTTGCAAGGCAAGGGGAAGTCCAGTTTTGTCGGAAGACTGCACTTGCTCTGGACCTGTGATGCCGCTGCCGCCGATGAGTTTAGTCTTTGATGCTTTGGACTTGTCGTTTCCTCGGGCCATTTATTGGGAACTGCCTTCATGGCTATGGCAGTCGCATGATGATAGCGTCTGTTATGATGGCTGTTGTTGGGCAAGGAGAGAAATGGAATGGTTCCGCTCAGCAATGGCCGAAAGCCGATCACGGCCGAGGTGAGGGGTTCTAAATATCAACTCTCAAACGCAGTTCTTGCCTATCAACTAGAGAAATCTGTCTCGCCCCAGCCCAGTCTTCCTCCCAAGTCAAAGAATTTCGATCGACTATACCACAACCATGCGTCTATCCTACATCGATGACGATCCAAAGATGGAGACAGAAGAAGATCAAGCCGTGGTGGAACGAGTGAAAGCGAGAAGGGGCGGGAAATTGATCGCATTGGACAAAGCGCTGTTGCACGCACCACCTGTTGCGGATGGCTGGAATGCATTCCTCAAGGCAATTCGGACCCAAACGACGTTGCCTGCGTCAATCAGAGAGCTTGCAATTTGCAGGGTTGCAGCATTAAATCAAGCGTGGTATGAGTGGGACGCTCACGCTCCCATCCTCAAGGAAGCGAACGTGCTGAGCGACGATGTGGTCGAGAAGATCAAGGACAGAGATTGGAAGGGAAACGGGCTCGATGAAAAGCACCTTGCAGTCTTCGAGTATACCAATGCTATGACTTTGGAGGTCATCGTCAAGGATCAGACTTTCCAGAAGGTAAAAGGTCTGTTCAGCGAGCGAGAAGTGGTGGAAATCACAGCTACGATTGCGGCCTACAACACGGTATCGAGGTTTCTGGTAGCGCTGGATGTCGGGGAGATGGCTGCGAAATATGGTGTTGATTTCAGCTGAGGGTATCTCTGTACGCCGCCCTAACATATTATCATTCTTCTCCAGACAATCTGGTTACGCATAGAATTCATCGCTCAAGATGTCGGTGTTGGCTTCTCTGCAGCAGTAGGTGTGCTTTTCTTCAACTCTGCTTCGATGGCCGACTTGAGCTTTTCTGGTGCTGTTGTGCTCGCCCATCGTTGCTTGACCTCACCGTCTTTTCCGATGAGGAACTTCTCGAAGTTCCACTTGATTCTCTTCAGACCCATAAGGCCTGGCTTGCGCGACTTCATCCACTCCCATACAGGCTCTGCCTTGTCTCCATTGACGTCGGTCTTGCCGAGCACAGGGAAAGTGACGCCATAGTTCAGCTGGCAGAAGCTCTGGATGTCATCGTCGCTGCCTGGGTCTTGGTTGCCGAACTGGTTGCACGGAAATCCGATGATCTCGAAATCTGGGTGGCTTGGTTTAAGCTCTGAGGCGAGATGCGTTAGCATGATCGTGAGCGGGTGGTAATGGAGTTTCGCGAACCTTTGTAAAGCTTCTCAAGACCCTCAAACTGGGGTGTAAAGCCGCACTTGGAGGCAGTGTTGACGACAAGCACGACTTTGCCCTTCAAGTCGGACAGCGGGAACTCGTTGCCCTTCTTGTCCTTGGGCTTGAAATCGTAGAAGGTGGTGGCGGAAGCCATGTTGGCAAAGCTGGACTGCTGCTGTATGTGCAGTGGTTTTGCGATGGGCGAGTAGGGGAAGACGGGCTTTGCCAAGGGTGGTTGACGGGCAGCGGCGACTGATAAGTGTGCTCGGAGAGTGGTCCTAGAACAGAAGACCAGGCGCGTCGCTACTTGCATAGGTTACGGCCGCATAGATACGAGTCGACGATGCCCTCTCACGACTCACGTTACTGCTGAGGAGACGATGGACTGGTCAGGTCAGCGCTGGCGTCACATGCTGGTGCTTGGGGTGCTGGGCGGCTTCGAAGAATCCCGAGCCAGCGCCGGGCACATGCCACAAATTGGCCGCGGCTACGGTGAATATTCCAATATTTGACATACTGCAGCTCGCATCCTGGAGCTTGGTGCACTTGTGCAAGGTGCGAGCAAGGCTACAGCAAATTGTCGCTCGATGGAGTCGATGCCCGAGCATGCACCGGCAGCCTTGACGATCGGAAACTCTCTTTGCGCCGCCGGGATGATGACATCCATCTTGACAGGTCTTGGCACACAGCAGACAGACAACCTCACTTGATCGAGTCACTTTCAGCTTTCATTTCTTCCCACTACACGCTCACTGCTGTGCTCATTGTGGAGCCCAAGTGGAATCACAAGCGAGGTGTGACGTTGATTGGCGATGCAGCACATGTTCTGGTGAGCAAGAAATGCGTACATATATAGCGCTTACCAGACCAAATCTAACAGTGACGGACCCCGTTCGCTGGCGAAGGTGTGACAATGCCTTTAGGCGGAGTACAGCACGCACTTGCTCGAGGGCAAGCAAGCAAGCCTAGAATCATGTACCCGAGTAATTCTGAGTCGTAGAAGCGAAATCTTTTTCTTCTTCATTAAAACGCCCAACCATGTGTGAAAATTTACAAAAATTTTACTTCGTCCTCTTCTTCCGGCGGCTTGCTGCCGGTCAATCCTCTCGACGCACACGCTTGGTTAGCATCGATCACGCAGCGACTCCACCAAATCATCTTCACTACTGGGGATGGCGCTCCATATGGCTATTGAAATGGCTTGTAGTCCAAATGGGAGGACAGCATCGCCTCCCAAGGTTAGACACGCGGATCAAAGCCATTGGGCTGCACTTCATCGTAGACTTGGCCAAATATTCGGGGGATGAGCCAAAGGCAGTCCAGTCCACGGCTGGGAAGACGCTTTGAGGCGCTTGAGAAATCCCGAGGGGGCTGAAGACTTGGGGAACATCCAAATGGCATAATGCCCCTGATGACCGGCATAAAGAGGTCCGCATGGGTCGTGAAGGCCTTGAACCAAGATCGCTAAGTGGTATCCAGAACCTTTTGATTCATGACATTTGCCATGATTGAGTGAGAAATCGACAACAGAACTCCGTTGATCTGGAAATGGTAAGCTTTTGCACGTCCAAAATTTGCCGACAATGACCTACAATGAGTCCTGCCACGCCCGACTTATTCAGCCGTGCCTTGCCTGCTGAGAAAGACGGCGGAGCTCTTCCACGTTCTGGCTTAGCCGCTGGAGATTGACCTCATCTTGTGGGCCATTCACGGAGGTCACACTGAACTCCAAGAGCTGCCGTTGGTTTGCCCACTGTGAGTAGGCGGCACGTTGCTGCCTATTCTGAATGGCGCGATAGTCCTCAGGGTATGATGCATCCGTGGCAACGCAAGTGGCCTGTGGAACGGCCATTACGGGAGAAGGCTCCGACACCGGGGTAGGAATCCGCTGGATTTTGGGACGCTGAGCGGGTGACTCCTCGCTGACGGAACCAGAAGCCTTCCTCTTGCGTCCAGACGTTTTGCGACCTTCTGGACTTCCTCGGTCCTGGGTTGGTTCGTCCTTGTGGTCATGGACGCGCTTCATATGATCAAAGAGGTTATAGCGTCTAGGAAAGCCATTGCCGGGAATGCCACGCTCACATCCTCCATAGTAACAGAGATGAGGGCGATCACCATGTCCATGCATTCCATGTGCCTCTCTTTCATGGCGCAGAAGGCACGCCGTTGACGAGAACTCCTGTTTGGAGCAAGCTTCAATCTTACATCGGAATGGCTTGAGGTGGGAGTCAATGAATTTACTGCAGGACAGGAAGGGTCAGTGTCACGACGCGTTAGATCTGGGGAGTGTATCATCATACTCATAGTTGCACTTGAGCTTGGTAGGCTTGTGCTGACAGTTGGGGTCGCTCTCAAACGGGCAGTGGTACAGTCCATCCGATTCGGGTCCTCGGGAGTACAATGGATCGTTCCTGTGGCGACCTTCCTCACTTTCGCTCGTCATGCTGGCAGCAGAGCATGGAGACTGAGTAGGCATGGGACATTTGAAGGCCTCGGCAGATTTCATCACCCGTGGTCCTGGCATGGAGGTGGGCATCTGTTGGGTGTGAACAAAACCATAGGCGTAGCTACGCACACGGTTAGTGTTCAGCTCTTGCTCAGATTGACTCACTCGATCTAACCTCTCAGACGACGGCATCATGTTGCCAGCCTGGTCATAGCGTACAAGACCGCTAATCTCTCCATTTGTGGTTTCCGGATAATAAGCCTGAGGAGCCCTCCTGGCAGAGGCCGAATCCGGACGTGGAGTCAAGTGTCCATGACCGAGAGGAGACATCCGGGATTGTTGCTGCACATTGTTCACAAGGCCATGTGGAAATGCAGCATCCGTGGACAGGCCAGCGACACTACTTACACTCGAAGCAGCATCTGCACAGCCAGTACCCGGAATTTGTGCCAGCCCCGCACGAGGCTGCGAGTGAGTCTCTGGAGAGGAAGGTCCTTCGGCACGTGGTAGAATTGGCCTCCTTGGGGACAGAACAGGGTCAGAAGTTGTCCGCCTTGGATAAGGTGCAGGATAGTACACTGTTGACTGCTGTTGGCCGCAGCTGGGATGAAGAGACGCAGCAGAGACCGGGAACAATGGAGCCATGACCTCGGGTGAGGTTACCATACTAGAAGCGAAATTCTGGGAGACGGTAGAGCCAGGACATACTACAGAACCGGCATGATCCCAGGTAGGTTCACCAATGAAGGACAAATCCAAGCCGGGTGGCAGAGGAAGCAACTCCGGCTCCGAGATACAATTTAGGGTGTGCGTGCTCTGGCTCTCATGACTCAGAACAGGCGACAAGCCCGTGTCTACAGGTGCCTGGGAAACGCTGTACCAGGAAGATGAGTCCAAGGTCTGTAATTCCTGGGTGGTCAACGGAGTAGGTTGCCATGTGTTGGACGATTGCACGAACGTGCTGTGTTCCGGGTTGTGTGCAGTGGCCCAAGATTCTTCCGGCACAGGGGCCTGGCTCCAAGGTGGGCCGTTCATGTCTGGGCAGTCTGACGGGGCGCAATCCGAGGCAGTATCCGGAGGGGTGAGAGGATATCCGCTATCCGGGTAGGTTATGGACTGGCACCAATGGTCCACTTCCGCGGGCTGTGCAAAGAGAACAGATCCAGGCTGATGGAAAGGAGCAAACTCCTCACTGATTCACGAAGATGTCAGTTGGCGACCTCGACAACTTTGCAAAAGATTGGAAAAGAAATTAATCTAGCACAAAAACCAAAGCAATAGTAGAAAGACCAGTCCAAGCAGCCGGTGTGGAGGGCTGAGATATGTTATGGTCCATCAGCAGCCGAGTCTCATGGATCAGTAGAAAATCAGCCGGGCGCAGGGAGAGTGGCCAATCAAAGGGAGTGACATCGGTCCTGGTGGAAAGAGCGACTGGTTCATCAAGATAGATTGGCCCGAGCAAGAAGACTCCATCCAGGACTGTAGCGCGAACATCCTGGAGATCCGGGAGCAGGTTGCCCGTGGCTCACGGTGGTAGGCACAGTGCTGGAAGGTATAAATCAAAGCCAAGGGCAAATCCGGTGAAACAGACGCGTCAAGAGACTACGATGCGGCAGACAGCCTTTGATCACATATCAATCGCAGGCTTCGTCAGCCACGAGATCGTGGAGAAGGAGAAGGCTCCTATCCTGATTCTTCCGTGAGAGGCTCACTGCTCCTTGGCATTGTCCGGATAGACTGATGACTCGGTGGGATGGCCGGGATGTCCGGGGGAGCGGGGCACTCCGTTGCAAGGAAGCAAAGTACTGTACACTAACAATGCTGCAAAGAATGCAAGTACAGTGACGGAAAGACAGTTGCAGAGAAATGACATGAAGAAATATACCTGGCGGCCAAGTAGTCCTCGCGGGTGCGATATGTCATGCTGGACAGTGCAAAGCAGGCAACAGGAAGTGCCTTCTCAATCCAAATTGCAAGTAAGAGGGGTGTTCGTGTTCGTAACACAACAGTGTGTGAAAGAGCCTGGTTGAGGTGCGCGGTGGGTGTATGTGTGAAGAGGTGGTGGAAAGGTTGGGCAGAAACAAAGGTGTAAGGTTGCAGAAGCTGGTGCAGAGGCAGAGTGCGGGCGACTAGGAAATATGGAAAGTGAGAGGCAGAGGAGGGCCGTGCAGAGGCTTCGGCTAGCGGGGGGAAGGGGCGCGGCGGGTGAGGGGAGGGTGAGGTGATCCATAGGTGTGAAGAAGCTGTGTGGTGCAGCACGGAGCAGCGGTGCATGTGATGAGCAGGGGTTTGGCGATCGCCATTCGCCTGTCGCCTCAGGCCTGTCAGTCTTGCGTCGTCGGCGGCGCGCTGTGAGCTCGCCTGAGCCGCTTCCTGACGTGGCATCGTGTGGTCAAACGACTCGTGCGCTGCATGCCATGACACGACGCACGACGCACGCCGCCTTCGCCCTTCCCACCAGTAGTCCCGCCATCTCTGTGTGCCAGTGCCAGCAGGTTTTGCGCTCATCAGCAACAGCCAGCTCCTGACCAAGCCTACCCTAGGAACACCCCTGCAATGCCGCTGAATCGCCATCATTGCTGAAAATGCTCTGACCAGCCACCTTGGTTGTTGATGCCTGAACTCACAGCTCTGCAATAATGGTGCAGCTTCAGCTCGGCCATCCGAGCTTCCACCAAAGTGATCAGCTTGCTTATCCTCTCTTACGACATTCGCTCGTGCTTGCTCCTGCTGATCTCGATGCAAATCGCACCGTGCCTGCAGCTGACCACCACATCAGAGAACATCGATGACCCGCATCGAACTCTTCACCATCTGAAACGTGAGCTACGTTTCAGTCGAGTCACTCGGATGCGTTGGCTCTGCAGTCCACACAGCGCGAGACGTCAACCATTCTCGTGTGGTGCCATCTACGATTACTAACGATGACGAGGCAAGAATTTACCCACACGATACGCCCCCCATTGCTGACTTAAGGAGACTGACTAGCTGCTGTATACTTGTACGAGCATAACCAATGCACAAGTGTACCATCGGCCTTCGGTGCAAACTCCGCACTCACTGAGTAGAGGCGCGCTCTTTCCTGCGACTGCTCCTTCCTCTGCCTCGTAGCACTGTCGGCACTGTCCGCACAGACCCGGACCGCACCGCCAGTCTATTCTGTAGCGTCGTTTCTTGAACCCAGGCCATCAACCGACTTTCGCCCGTTCTTCCCTCCGTTAATAATAAGAACCTCTTTTTAAAGATCTTTGTTCATTGCGTGGTCATATCGATGCGGACTGAGGGCGGTTCCAATGCGGATTGTGCCCAAAACTGGTCCCAAGCACAAAAATGGTGGTGCACAATGGTCGTAGCCATCACCTGTTTCGCCGTAGCTTTCAACTTTCAACAGCGCCGTCGGCTTACCTGGTTCGCCCCAGCCTTTGGAGGATGGTTTGTCGGATTCGGCTTCATCTTCCTTTACAACAGTGCCAACAACTACCTGGTCGACAGTTATCAGCACCAGGCAGCGAGTGCTCTGGCCGCAAAGACATTCTTGCGATCGTTCTGCGGTGCGGGTGTGGTCCTTTTCACCATTCAGACGTATCACCGACTTGGAGACCAGTGGGCCTCGACGCTGCTGGCTTTTAGCGGGCTGGCATGTTGTCTGATCCCATACGTCTTCTACTACAAGCGCGCTGCGATTCGCAAGTATTCGAAGTACGCGTATGCTGGTGACGAGGAGTGCAACATGAAAGGCCCTCAGTACGGCAGATGAATGTTCTTGATGATAGACATAGATCTCAGTCAGCATGGCAAGGCGTTTGGAATGGGAAACTTGTGCTTTTCCGGGCACATCTAGACACCGAGAGCAGGAAGAATGCGTGATATATCAATTGAACAAGGGTCGAGGTTCGGTAGAAAGGCGGTATCGAGTCGGTACGAATTTGTTTCAGGCGCGGCTCTCTTATATTGCATCTACCCTCCGGTATAGTTATCCGCTATATCCGGCTATAATAACCGCCGTATTTATAAGGAGGGACCTTAGAACGGCCGTATATACCGTAATATTACCGTATATACGAAGCTTGTAATATTATATCTAATATCTCTACTAATATATTAGACTAGTATCCCGCTACGACCGGTATTCCGCTATCCTACCTAAGGTACGATCTTAGTAAGAACGTTATATCTATAATACGATAAAACAAATCGAGTTAGTTCTATATACTATACTTCTATATCTATAAATAGTAAGAATTGTCGCCTAATATAATTACTTATCTTAAAAACTTCGAAATCTAAGCTCGTTATCGCTTTCTTCTATCTTGCTTCCGCTCTATAGTCTATAGATTTAAGTTCTCCTACTATCGTCTAATAGCCGTACGGCGTTAAGCGAATTTTAATAGCGCTATACCTAATTTATATCTTAGCAAGTTGCTAAGATCGTGCCTTAGGTAGGATAGCGGAAAGCTAGTCGCAGCGGAATGCCGGTCTAAAATGTTATACGACAATAGTACTATACGATAATAGCACTATGCGACACCCCTATGCCGGCCTCTTCCTCTTCCGCAAGCTGTTCTTAGGCGCTACTCCGTCGCTCCGCTCGATTAGCACAAGCACTGCAGGGCTTGAACGATACTTTATGTATTCTTCAGAATTTTCAGACCAAATCCCCCTTCCCTGTCGGTGTTTCTACCCCTCATCATCGGCCAAGGCAAGTGTGAAGAATCGTCACCGCGGACGCCGGGCAGGCCATTATTATTTCTGAGGTGCGATGGACGATGCACGATGCACGCCTACGCAGGAACGAGTCTGACACGACGTCCGCTATAGGGTGTCACCTGCATACCAGAAGCCGCTTTATACTGTAGCGCGTCCTTTCCGCGGCCTAGATAATAGATATAGCAAGATCTGTTCCGAATTCAAATTCACTTTCACCTAGCCACCGAAGATTCCGAACATCCAAAGGGGAAGAGGCACGATCCGCGATCTGGTCTCCGATCGGCTTGCTGTATGCAGTTGACACCCTGTAGTAGTAGTTGCGATCGAACTATGTCAACGGTTGGCGCAGAGCCAGAGCAAGAGCCCGTTGGGCCGCGGCGCCCATCAAACAGTGGGCGCCTCTGGCTCTGATCACCTCAGGCTGCATTGCATGGTGAAGGATGAACATTTTGCAGCAGGTGTATTGAAGCTTGATGCTCACGAGCAGCGAAAATGGTCGGCATGACCTTGGCTGCACGATGCATATACGGCGTGTGCCTGGCGGAGAGCTGTGAGCCGTCTGGATATTATGTGCCGCTGTGGTCTCTGAGGTTGTTGCTATCCATTATTATTGCTCACTGCTCAACCTGCGTGTGATCCCGTTGACTCGCTGCCTTGCTGCCAGGGCACGCACAGGCACACGCAAGGCAAGCGAGCAAGCACCAAGGAACGATGCAGGTGTCTACCGAGAAGGCTATTGCTGCTCCCGTGGCCACCATAGCTTCGAGCTTCTCCAGCAGCAGCGCTACACTCGCCGGCAGTACCAACAATAATGTCGAAGACCGGATCGAGCCCACACGCACCAAATACTCGCTGTATCCACCGCTGACGCCGAAGAGACCCTCCGCGACATCCGGCGCCCTCGCCCTGGCCATCCCCCTCCCTGCCCGCGCCAGCCGTGTCGTAGAGCAGATGTACTCCGCAGCGACATCATCGACGACGACGGCGACAACTAGATCTTCCCCAAGCGCCGCTACTCATACCACCACCGCCGCCGACTACGCCTCCCCCGCCTCCGTCTCCATCAACCCAGCGGCCATACCCACTCGCACCTCGAGCAGCAACGCCGTCTCACACAACTCCGAGCACACGCCTAGTCCAGGCAGCACCAAGAAGTCGCTCAGGAAAAATCGCAGTCTTGGTCGTTTGGCCGAATTTGACGAGCGTGAGTGGATGGCACAGGGCAAGCATCACCGGCTTGCGCATAGTCCTTCATCCATGTCCGACCTCAAGAACTCGCCGCCCATCGGCCAAGACCTGATCAACGGCCACAACACGAGCTGGAGCACGGAGAAAGAGAATATTCTGAAGGGACCTTTTGTCTATCTGGAATCACACCCGGGCAAGGACATCCGCTCACAGATGATCAGTGCTTTTAACGAATGGCTGCAAGTCCCGCCCGCCTCGCTCCAGGTCATCACGCGAGTCGTCGCTATGCTGCACACGGCTTCGCTATTGATCGATGATGTTGAGGACAGCAGTCAACTGCGGCGCGGCGTACCCGTTGCACACATCATCTTTGGAACGGCGCAAACGATTAATAGTGCCAATTACGTCTATTTCTGCGCGCTGAAAGAACTGCTCACATTGAACAACCCCGAAGTCCTCCGTATATATACCGAGGAACTTCTGAACCTACATCGAGGCCAAGGCATGGACCTTTTCTGGCGGGACACCTTGACATGTCCGACAGAAGACGACTACCTGGAAATGGTAGGCAACAAAACCGGAGGCCTTTTCCGATTAGCCATCAAATTAATGTGCGCCGAATCTCCCAAGCAGAATGCTGCACCAGCAAGCACCTCCTCAACCTCGAGACCTCACGCTCCCGTGGATTACATCCCACTGGTAAACACCATGGGCCTCCTCTTCCAAATCCTCGACGACTACAAAAACCTCAGCGACACAATCTACACACAAAACAAAGGCCTATGCGAAGATCTGACCGAAGGCAAATTCAGTTTCCCAGTAATCCATGCCATCCGATCCGACCCATCGAATCTGGTTCTGATCAATATCCTCAAACAAAAGACGCAAGATGACGACGTCAAAAAGTATGCGGTGGCGTATATGGAACGCTGCGGCAGCTTTTCGTATTCGAGGCGAGTCTTGAGGGGTTTGACGAAGAAGGCCTTGAGCCTGGTGGATGAGGTTGATGGAGGGCGGGGGAGAGGCGAGGCTGTGAAGAGGATTTTGGAGAGATTGCGTGTGGATAAGCATTCGCGAGCGAGTCATTCGGCGTAAATTTGCCTTCGGCTGTGAAGAATGAAAATTGGTGGGAATTTGTGCTGGACGATGGATGGCAAGGTTTCTATTTCGTGCTGCACTTGAGCAAGCTATGCAGGATTTGAGTGTAAGGTGGATACCCCCTTTGAATCTGATGAAGAGCTGTGGTCATGGTCGTTGTGTTTGTGTGTGTGATGTGATGAGTGATATGACTGAAAAGCCTTTGAGCGAGCACGCTCTTCTGAACGAACGATTCTTTTGAGAATGTATAGCAGTAGTAATGCCATTGGAGACGATTGACCTCTCATAAAGGCCTACTTTCTACAAAGACCAATCTTCTCCGCCTCCCTTCTTCTCGCCACTTATGGCATTACCTCCAGCATTGAATATTTTACATGTCAAATCAAGGGTATCACTCTTTCGTCCCAGAACACCTCGCTCCCAAACAATCATCACATCACACTTCTCATCCATCCCTTTCACTTAACCTTACTCATAACCGTCTCCAACCCCCTCTCAACATTCAACCCGGCAGCCGCACTCTTAACACTACTCAACATACTCCGATCAAAATCATCCCGAGCCCTCAAAACCGACTCAACCCAACCAATTTGCACATCCCAATACTGCTGCTTCATACTCACAAAAGCTTCCACCACACCCGGCCCTTTATCCGCAGCCAACAAATTCCCAAAAGCGTTCACAGCCCTCCATTTATCCTTGATGAGATCAAACGCATCACCGAACTGTCCGAAAAAATTAAAGACGGTCAGGACGTCGTCTTTGATTTTGTCGGTGAAAGGGTCTTGGCGGCGGAATTTGACGCCTTTGTTTTTTACGCATTCGAGGTAGCGCACTAGTAAGGCGTCGGAGAGTTCTTCGATGAAGATGTTTTGGAGGGCTGGGTGGAGGATGTCGGTGAAGTCTTTGAGGTAGTCTTCGAAAGTGGTGGTGATGGATGCCATGGTTTTTTTCGAGTACCAGGAATTTGTGAAGAATTCGACGAGGACGGGTTTGATGTCTGTGGCGAAGATGACTGCTGCGAAGAGGGACATGCAATGTGTTGCGAGATCGACGTAGCCGTTGGTGAGGGTTTCGATTTCGGCGTTTGAGGTTACGATGTAAGCTGGTGTGACGAGTTGTTCGTAGTCTTGTCGGAAGCGGGAGAGGAAGGAGATTGTGCCGTTGTCTGCGTCGTCGTCGATGATGGCGATTTGGTCGTTGGCGATGGCGACGAACCATTCTTGCATGCTGCTGATACCTTCTAGTGTGGCCGGATCTGCCGTGTTCTCGAGTTTGCGATATTCGTCGTCGATGAGCCTTTCCCACATTTGTTGTCTGCCTTTGAGAGCGCGCATCATTGCATCTACAACGCCTTCTACCACGTCAGGACGATGGGAGCCCTCGGCAACCGAAAGCTGTTCGCCCAACATTCTCCACATATCTCCGAGTGTCTTTGTGTGGAGTTGATTGTTGGAATCCTGATCGAGACTGCCTTCTGCCCTGGAGAGGAACTGTTTTCTATCGGTAGCTGCCATCCGATCCATCCATTCTTCGACCGCTCTCGTGATAAGATTGCGGTAGTCGCGGACTATCTCACTCTCGCGCTCATCAAGGACATGCGGCTTAAGCTGTGCTTGTTTCACGCCAAGCTTGGACATCTTGCCGTGATATTTCTCCACCCAGTTGAGGATGGCAAGCATATGTACCGGAGTAATATCCTTGTCATCCAGTTGCTCAACCAGGAAGTCGTGCATCTGTTTGTGATATATATCGACGTAGGTCTTGAAGATTTTCCACTTCTTTGGCAATAGGTCCTGCATACCAAGCTTGACGGTGTTGAGATCGTTGAAGTACCACCTAACTGACTTCTCGAGCTTCTCCGGATCACCATCAAATGACTCTTTGACTTGTGCGAATTGTAGCTGGGCGTTGTATGCGATCGCCTCTAGAAATTTCTTCTTGTAGCCGCGCAGCTCTCGTTGACCAACATTAATGCTCTTGAATCGCTGCGCAACATCCTTGAATTCTCGCTGAGCGTCTTGCAGGGCCTTGGTTTGCCGATCTTTCTTCTCCTCTTCTTCGATCACAAGTCCAAGACGCACGACCAGTCCATTGTTGCCAGTCTGGACGAGCTGAATCAGGTTCATACAAGCCTGACCCACATGCTCATCAAACCATTCGATCACATCTTCCAGTTTGGTAAAGTAGTCTCGCAGTGTGACACCAGACTCGAGATGGAGATTCTCAATCAGCTCCTGGCCTGTTTCTGCGTCCGCACTTCCCTTTACTTGCTCCATCGCCTGCTCCCTCACATCCCGCAACGAGCTCAAGCCAGAATGCACAGCTAACAAGTTGGGCTGAGCCTCGAGATCTTCATCGTCCTCCTTCAGCAAAGCTTCCAGGTCGGTCAATTGATCTCCAAAAGTATTGATATTGGCCTTAATACTCTCCACAGCCGCAAAGTTGCGCTGCATTATGCTCATCCTATTGATCTCTGGGAAGTCCTCGATCATGCCTTGGGCTTCCGCACAAAGCTTGTCTATCTTCATCATCTCGTCTTTGATCAAGGCGACAATCTTGTGGCCGTCGTTGATACTGGCCATGCCATTTTGCGTGATCTCGAGTTGTTCCTTCAGACCATGCTTGAGCTGGCCGTCAATGGCTGCTTTCTTGCGCGTAAACTCGCTGCGCAGTGATGGCAACTTGTCCAGGTCGTCGGGATTCTTGAGCAGCTCCGCAAGCTTCGACGTCGTATCTTCCAGCGCGCCATCGTTCATCGTGTCCGTTGCTGTGCCGTTCTGTGCTTGTCAGCACAGGGTGTGTAGGATGGAGAGATCTGGTCGGCTGGGTGGTGGCTCCGTGGTCGAGTCGCGCGTGGACGCCGTGGAGGCGGAGCTTGTGGAGAACATGTCGCATGCAACTTCCTTCGACCTTCGATGATTTGCGATTGACAACACAATCTATCGAGATCGCTGACAGCAGTCACCACGACATCATCGAATCGCACAAGAGAGCCTACACTCCCAGATCAAATATGGCATACTTCCGCATCACGCTCCTGCGCTCAGCAATTGGTCTACCGAAAAAGACTTCCGGAGTCCTCTACGCGCTCGGCCTCAAGAAGCGCTTGACAACAGTATACCAACCAGTCTCCAGACACGCCGCTGGACAGATATTTGCAATCAAAGAGCTCGTCGATGTGCAGGAAGTGGACTCACCTTTGAGCAAGACGGAGATGAAAGAGTTGCGAAGACCAGATCCTGGCTTCTATGTCGAGACTAGAGCGAAAGACATCAGGAAAGCGCTTTGAGAGGATAGCTTCGAGCAACGCGTATGAGGATTAGACGTGGTGGACGGAGAGCCAGGAATGACGATGGTCAGTGGGTGGAATGGATGAGGCATTGCTTCTCACTACCATCATCGCGCATTGGAAACGTCGAAACGAGCCTGGAGGTAGCATTCGAGGGAAAGGAAGCGGCACGTACGGTCAGCGCAGCAAACCAAGATGTTGCTGCGCACGATATCCCATCGCGAAATGGGCGCGAGAGACGTCAATATGCTGATGAGAGGAGAGGAGGGATTCACGAGAAAGCTACCGCGCCACAAAGATCCGACACAGTATTCTGTCGATATATGAGCAAGATCTACGAAGTCGAGTTCGAAACCCCAAGCTTCTCGAGCCACGGCGAGACAACTTTCGCTGCGATCTCCAGATTATTCTTCTCCAAAAATAAGAAATGGCCATTGCCATGAATTCCCACCGTCTCCAACGGCACATGGTCCATCTTAACTCCAGCCTGTCTCGCCCACTCGACCGTGCAGTAGTCGTATACCGTATGATAGCTACACTCGCTTGTCAAAAGGAGGCTGGGCACTTTGGCAATGTTCACAAGCTGCCGCGCTGGTTCAACTTGTCTGTAGCATTTCGACGAATTGGAGTTTCTGGCTGCTACTAGCTCGATGTCCAACTCGGCAGCGCTAGAGACTGAGGGATCGTAATGCACCGGTACAGCAGTCAGACCGTACGAGCGGGCGCCGCCGGTAGTGCTGTAACCAGATTGCTGTGGGACATGTTACTCGAATGTTCTCATATGATGCCTCCGCCATAGCTAGGATGTAGATACATTGCTTCAATTCAGCCCATCGATGGGAAGTGTGCCGGTTCCTTGCTGAAGCGAACAGATTGATCGCAAATCCAAACGAATTAATAATTTGCAAGTCGCCATGATGTTGTACGAGGAAGAATGATTCTGTAGAGAAACTCTGGACAACTTACAAATGGCGGTCCATTCCAATTCTCGATCGGTGGACCTTGTGGTTCCAACGATATGAGACCTCTGACGAGCTCCGGCCTGGTATCAGCAAGCGAGAAGCCGTACGGTCCAGACTGTGAGTGCGTGATAACGAAACTAGGCCCGATCTTGTCCAAGAGAGCATTGTAAGAGACATTGTTATAAAGTACTTGCAATTTTCCGTTCGACAAGGCCTGGACCTGGCTCGCATAGAAGGCATCAAAGATAGGATCGCCTGCAAGACCAGCCCCGGGCCATTGTGTGTGCAAAGCTGCTTGAGGGTAAGGTAGTGGCTTCTGCTTCTCAGGTGCAGTGAAGAGCGACTCTTCTTGCGCTGTTGAAAAAGCTGTGAGATCACTGCCGCCTGGCAGAAAGAACGAGCGTCCTCTTGAGCTTTGATCCGTGAGGTATATAGCGTAACCCTGCCCCAGGAAATATGATGCCCAGCCTTCGCGTCCGTCAGGTGTGTTCAGAAAATTTGTCGACGTCTGTCCATTGCCGGATATGAAGATGATTGGGTATTGCTTTGTGGTTTCTCGAGGCAGAAGTTTCTCAACGTAGATTTGACCGACCATGTACTGTCCTGTGGTGTTGGCTCCCGGTAGAGTGGCATTCACGTAATGGCCGCCAACGTAGAAATAGGTTCGACTTGCGTAGGTTTCCGTGACATTGTGAGTGATATCTTCGGTTCGATCAAATGCGGACACTCCAAAGCATGCCTTCGACAGCACAATCAGCGCGGCAAAGATGCAGCAAAGTGACGAGATCATCACAGCGGTTGGACCGGGAGACTTAAGAAAAGGTGAAGGAGATGGCATTATATTCCTTACCAATCAGTGAAGGTGACACACTATGGCACGATCGTCCAAGAGGAGCACTAGGCTATGCGACTCCGTCGTCATCCAAGTTGTTAAGCAGAGGAGGTCAGAGCCGTCTGGAACTTCTCAGGCGGCTGAAAGTCGAGACAAGACGAAGTCCGCGCTTGCCCTGACCCGGAAGCCGCTAGCACATTTAATTTTTTCGTAGTTGAAACCCATTGCACAGCACCCACACGACGCACACAGCAATAACCAGCAATCATGGCGAAGACCGAAGCTGAGATCGCCGTGAAGAAGGAGAAGAAAGAGAAGAAGCGCAAGGCCGAGGATGCTGAGGTTGAAAGCGCACCGAAAAAGGTAAAGAAGGAAAAGAAGTCCAAGAGAGAATCTCTCCCGGCTCCAGTGGAGGATGATTCGGTTATGGATGTGGATGGTCAGACATTGGTGAAGGTGGAAGATGCGAATGAGGATGGAGATAAGAAGGCTGTAACTGCAATCTCGGTAACTGCACTCGTGCCATTCGCAAACCCGCTTGCGGACGAAAAGTCGCAGAAGAAGGTACGCTACTGACCACCACAAAAAATTCTGCCGTTCTATATCTGACTCTCTATCCGCGCAGGTCCTCAAGAGCGTCAAAAAAGCCGCCAAACACAAAGCCCTCAAGCGCGGCGTCAAAGAATGCGTCAAATCCATCCGCAAATCTCCACCAGCCACTCCAGCATCTCTCGGTTCAGGCGTCTTACCGAACGCCATCGTGATTCTGGCAGCAGATATTTCTCCCATGGATGTCATCTCTCACATCCCAGTCTTATGCGAGGACCACAACATTCCTTACATCTATGTCCCATCACGAGCAGAGCTTGGAGCAGCTGGAAGTACGAAGAGACCGACTAGTGTGGTTATGCTTATGCCCAACGCTGGAGGAAAGAAGGACGGCAAGAAGGATGAGGATTCTGGGGAGTGGGGTGAGGCTTACAAGGAGTTGCATAAGCTGGCGCTCAAGCTTGGCCAGCATGTCAAGGTGTAGATGGTCGGGTGTTGAGATACGTGCTACAGGGGAACTGGCGTTCTGGTGCTGAGGGATGTATATGAGGCGTTGTCTGGATTAGAAAGTGCGCATTCCTGTGTGAATATGGGATGAGCGTGGACTTGATACTGCTGTGAATTGGGCTAATGCAGTCTGCGATTGATGATGCGCGTGCAGAGCTTTGCAGCATTTTCCTAGACATTAATGCGATGACTTGTGATTAACCAACCTCGCCAGTTGTGCACTGTATGCCGTGTACTTTTCAATGGCCGTAGGTCTTCGTGATACGAAAGTGAAAACAGCTCCTCCAAGGCGGATTGCATATTCATCTTCTCCAGTTCCGCAAGCGACGACACACTTGCCCTCGCCCTCGCCATTTCGCGTTCTGGCTTTCGACTTGCGATAAGCTGCCAGTGGAGAGACCTCCACACGCCGTTGTTGAATAGCAATGAACGCCTGACCCGAGCAATACGCCCTCCTTGCTAATGAAATAACGAGACCTTGGTGGTAGATGGATTTTGGGTCAGGCCAGCGAGGACACATTCAATGAATGCTTTCAGTCAGGCGATAGAAAAGTGACTTCCGTGACACAAGGAACTGTTTCTGGTTGTCGAATTCTACAGGTGCTCACTCGTCTATCGCGACATATCTACAGAGTTTCTTGGAGGAGCTTGTTCATCCTGGCCATCTTTGACGAAACTGAAAGGTCAATGGTTCGGTCGCCGATCTCGACAACGAGACCACCTCGGATGTCTGGCTGGACCTGTAAAACGGAGCATTAGTAGAAGTCCCGACTCATAGCACATAATCCGACGTACCTTAGACACAACCTTCAATTTCTTGCCCTGACCAACATACTGGCTCTTGCTCACAGCATTCTCCAGCTGCTTCACGATCTTGCTGTCCAATGGCGCAGCACTGGTGATAGTCATCTCCACCTCTCCACGCGCAGCACTCATCAATTGCGCAAATTTCTCAGTAACACCATCCAACACACCCAATCGGTTGTTCTCGGCAAGAGTCTCGAGGAAGTTCTGGACGGTGTTGGTCTTGTCTTGCACGCTGATGGTCTTTTGAATCTCGGCGACAATCTGCTTCTTGTCGGAAACGGTGAGGGTCGGCGAGGTCAAGACCTGCTGCAGTTTGGCGTCCTTCTTGAACGTCTGCGAAAGGCTCTCCATGGCCTTGGAGACGGCGTCAATGGCATTGGACTTGGCGGCGGCCGTGTACTGCATATTTGTGTTAGTATCCCGTACCGTTTGTGAGTTTCTTCGCAGCGAGCATTCGTACAAGAGCGCTGGCATAGGTACCGTCCACGCCGAAGAGCTCGACAGGAGGCTTGGAGTCCGCTGCTGCAGGCTTTGCCGCGGTCTCTGCGAACGAGCGCGTGGCAGCGATCTGAAATCTTGGAGCTGCCACTCGGGCGGACCGAGCTGCAATGCGACCGGCCAGCATGATTTCGGTGGTATAGAGGCGCGAATGGGTGCGGAAGGGTGGTTCGGTATGCTCTTGTTGTCCGACTGAAGTTGAAGAAGCGGGAGGACACGATCGGCCAATCGGAGCGCCGCCTGCGTGCCTGCCAAAACCTCAGACCTCACGCGGCGAACGTCACCGTTAATGCTGCTGCTGCAGTTGATGCTGCAGCTTCACCTTTGCCAAATTCACATCTACCGTCTTCTCCACGTTGGTTGTATAGAGACCGGAGATGTCGCCGCAAAACTGAATGTCTAGACTGTGTTGTCGTAACGTGGTCAGGAACATCACCATTGCCAACCGCACTAGATGCGTGCTTTTGGCCGGGAATAGCTGTTCATCTGCGCACAGAGACCGACGGACGATTGCTTGGTAATTTTGAGAGCTCTCTCGATACGTTGCAAGCCACATTGCTAAGAAACTTCAACAGATCCTGATTTCACCAGCATGGCGTAATGTTCCTCTTCGCCCCATGGCAGACGTCCGGACTTGAGGTCCATTCGCACACGACCACATCCAACTGCCAATCTTATTGTGATGGTCGAGACGTGATGGTGATGACTTCTCTCACGGCAGCACGTGTGGCTACCACCATCACTTGAGAACGATCCAGAGAGATAGGCATGTACAGATCATCAATGATGAGTGAGGCTCTCGACGTTATTTCTCACGAGTCTGTCTCAACGGCGGATCGCCCGTTTCTGCGCTCTAGCTCGGACTCGTTTGATTACGTACGCAGTGGAGTTGCAGAACGAACCTTGTGGACGTGAGCGGTGAGGTGAAGACTTACTAATGACGATGGCCCATTGGCCAGATATTTCATTCATTATAGGAAAAGCCAAAGATCTGCATTACCCCAGAGCTGCGCCTTCTTTGGTAGGCCTGTGCGCGACGACAACTGCTATTGCCGATAACCTGCCATTGTTCACAGGAATTTCTTGGCGGGAGAAAAGCTCGCAACACCTCCACCGCACCTCTTCCGAATGCATACCATTCGACAACCACGCATCGGATTTTCATCTAAGAAATTGGAGGTTGCTCGTCTCAACCAGCTCTATCGCCTCATGCTGGAATCGCCATCGAAGGCAGCGAAACGGGCAAAATGACAGTCGGCAAGCCCTGGCTGTCACTTCAATGCCAAATGAATCTGTCCGCTCTGTCCGCTCCTACCTTTCCTATTGTCGAGGTGAACGAAGTGAACATAGCTCACTATTCTTAGAACTCGGTGGAAAATCTCTTACTTCCTCTCCTCGTTCCTCTTTTCTTCTTGAACCTTCAACAACACTTTTCCACGCTTCCCAACTTTGTCCATTTCCTTCTGTACAGATTTGACGACTCCGTCAGCACATCACAGGCGCAGGCGCTCTCCACCAACTCACAACAACTAGCAAGACTCACAAGCACGGAGTGCGCTGAATAGCTGCCGCCGCTGCTGCTCACCTTCAACTCACTTCGACCAAAGGCTGCTAGCAGCTGCATTTATCACAAGACACGCAACTCTTCAACTTCCATCTTGCCAGCACTTTCCACTCAACATTAATCAAGACCACCGGTTGGAACAGCATCCGACACACCCGATAGAGCGCTATCCGCACAGCTCAAACAACATTACCAGAAGGTAGACATTCTCCGAGTCCACCGAGCAACACCACAACTTGAACGAACAGAACCGCGCATTCAATCTACGACAAGATGGGTTGCACCAAGATCGGCCACCAGCACGAATGGCCAACCTCAGGCAAGCTGGTCATTGAACGATGCGAGGATCGGTGCAACTTTTGCACTGGAGAGGACAAGCAGAAGAAGTGGAAGTTTGCGTGGTTTCTCCGCCGGCATGTACGCTCCGTTCATATCAAGAATGGCCCTTACTCCAATCTGACTGTCTCTGACGCTTGGTGAGCACTTCCCAGTCCCTCATATGGCGTACTTCGGCTGACTTAGACAGGGACGAGGACGAGTCTGGAGGCAAAGGCCGCTCGCGCAAGGGTGCTAAGGGCAAGCGCCGCGTCAAGAAGGAGGAGGATGATGATTCCGACACGTCCGATGGTCTTCCGTACCAGAAGCCACTTCCTGGCCTGGATACCACCCATCTCATGACGATGAACGACTTCATTCAAGACCCTACCTTCGGTCAGGGCGTTCTGCTTGGCAACGAAATCATCGAGCGTGAACAGTTGCCTGCCAATATTCAGTCTGACGACATCGATGCTGTCATCGATCGTCTTGGTCGCAATGCAGCTCGCACATACCACCAAGCTGTGCATGGTACAGAAGAACTCCGTCCCGAAGACATCCCAGTTGAGTCGATTGAGCAAGACGACCAGATTGGCGCCAACACCGACAACCTCGAGGCTGCCGCATGGCAGTTCAATGTGGCATACAATCCATCACCATCTGCAGAGCCTGCTCATGCCGACGCCTTCCCGAACGCCTATGAGGGCAACGACATCCTTGAGCAAACCGCCGGTGATTTCGAAAACATCATGCAGGGCGATTATCTTCCAATGCCAACAATGCCAACAGATCTCGACGAGTCTCTCCAAGTCAACGCTCCAGAGATCGAGCAAGAAGATGCAAACTACTTGCCAAGTGACTCGAGCTTCTTCGAGGATGAGTGGTTCGGCTACGAAGCTGCAGCCTCCTTCGACCCATTCTTCTTTTCTGACAGTCCATCCCCACCCTCTTCAGTCTTCGATGAGCTGCCATTGTCGCTGACCTACACCACTACTCCGCCGAGTCCAACTCAAGCGTCAGTCGATGCCTTGGGCGCTTTCACGGCTGTTCACGAGGAGGTTCGCATCAAGGGTGGTGTCGGTAAGGATGATATGACCACTGCATTCGAGATGTTCCAGTCGGCCATCGGAGAGTCACCAGACGACATCGACTTGGCATTCGAGCAGCACGACTCTACGACCGGACTCTGGCAATCCAACCCAGTCATTCTTGACTAAGAGGGTTCATCGCAATACCTCATACCATCACCATCAAGGCTACTTTCGGCCTTCATCACGACGAGCATCCACCTCTTGGCAAGCATTAAACCCCCACGACATTCTTGGAGCACAACACAAGCATATTTAATCCAACATCGACATTGCTGTCAGCCATCTTGCGAAGGGAAGGCTTTTCTGACAGAAGCGCAGACCGCTTGATTCATAAATCAGGTATTTGTCTGCCACTACTACATGCATGAACGAAACAGAGCTTTGGGAATCTTGATATGGGTGCTAGAGCTATACAAGCAAGAAAAGCATATTTCTTGGTAGAAATTCAACTCGTCGTCGTTGATCTTCGTCTCTCGTGTCACCTTACGTGGTCAATTACCGCTACCCGCTTCTCGAGATGTCGTAGGTTTCGTAATCCCGCTCTCTTTGGATGCTACTCGAGGACTCTTGCTACCCTCGCCTAGTGAAGATCTGTCTTTCTTCTCTCGACTTCGGGCTTTCGTACTCGATTCTACACCCAAGCTTGCCCGTTCCTTGCCCTTGCGACTCGATTTAGTTTCATGTCCTGGATGTGGGGTGAAATCCTCTTTCCAGTAGATGCGTTTCTCTTCGTCTTCGGGCGTGAAGCCAGCAATAATGCATTGGAAGTGCATTCGAGTTTGTGTTATTGTCTGAGAAAGATGTCAGAGGCGGAATCTTAAGACAGTACTTGACCTCCAAGCAACAGACCTCACAGCGCTTGAACGCGTGCCAGCTCAACTTCTCATAACTCTGCAAGATCTCCGCTGCACCATTCCGGCGACGCAGAGCATCATATGCTTCTGGACTGCCAGCTTTCCTGCACGTTTCCCCTCCTCCCAGCGCTGAAGATGAAGCCATGGGCTCTGACTGTGGCTGCTCGAGCACACTGTTGCACAAGAGTGATCAAGCAGATACGGAGGAGCTGTCAGTGGCTTTGTCCTGGAAGATTTCGAGGAGACGATGTGTGGTTGAAATTCGTGGGAGATGCTAGATCTTCAGGATCGGAGTGCAAATAATTCAACCAGGTTGCCGATCACTTTTTCAAGACGACGCTCGGCACGCTGCATAACATGCATGAGCTCTTGCTGTCATTTCTGCGCATGTGACGAATGCTGTGATCTGATGCATGCGTCGGGGGACAGTGAGAGATGGATGCCTCGCGGCGTGATCGTGACGAATGATGTTAAGGTAGAGAGAGGAATTTGATGATGAGCATGAGCATGAAGAGTCAAGACACGATGGCGATGAACGGACGTGTCTCCGCCCTCTCAGGGATCGCTGAGCCCCTGCATGTGTATGCGTCTCTGGTGCATACGTACATGTAGCCTTCCAGATATCTACGACGCAAGTACGGAGGACGGGACACTCTCTCTCAAGTCCATGTTCATTTCGAACATCGCCAGTGCTTCCTCGCTTCACGCTGCCCACATCTGAACCTCTGGATGACCAAGGATTTGCTCGTCGCTGCTGGCCCAGCGTCTGGCCGTTTGCCTTCATAAAACATAAGACAACATGCCACGGCGGTTGAACCCGTGCGCCATTCTACCCCGACGCTTCCAGATCGTTGCTACGCTTGCGGGAATCCTCCTGTTCTGCCTCGTCTTCCTGGGCAAGTCGAGCACCGATGCTTATGACCCATATTTGGAGAAGGTGCCATTTGGCCCGATGCTCGAAGGTGGCGTGCACCAGGTGGTAGAAGGCGCTCAAAATGTGGTTGATCGACTGCCCGGTTTCAGGACGCCCGCCCACAAACCGCCACCCGAACAGGCGAACAGCAGCAGCGGCGACGTGAGGTGGTACAGCGACTGGAAATGGAAGAACCCGTTCAGCAGCGACACGGTGTACGACGAAGCTCGAGCTGTCCTGCCTCCCCTCGCCGAAAGACCGCCCATATACACATACTACGATGCGAGTTCCAGGAGGAAAGATCAGAAGAGCAGGAAGGCCGAGCAAGAGCTGCTGCAGATATGGCGTAGAGCGTGGTGGGCAGCTGGCTTCAGACCCGTCGTATTGAGCAAGAGCGAGGCCATGCACAATCCCCTATATCGCGCAGTCCAGGGGCTGACGCTGGAGAAAGGCTTCGAGAATGAGCTCATGAGATGGCTCGCGTGGGCTAACATGAAGGGCGGCATCCTCGCCAACTTCATGGCTGTCCCCATGGCTACGTACGACGATCCGACCTTGTCATTCCTGCGCCGAGGCGAGTATCCGACGCTGTCTCGTTTCGAGAACTTGAGCAATGGGCTCTTCATAGGGTCTGCAAGCCACATTGACGCTGCCCTCAAGGAAGCAGTCTCGTCGCCAGCGATCAAGCGTGTGAAGTTTCTCGACGAGGCATTGTCGCCGGGCACAGTCCAAGTGGAGGCTAAGGCTGAAGGCATTGCATTTTACAGCGATGCAGTGCTCAAATCTGCTGCCTATAAGCCGATAGGAGAGAAGCTTGCACATCTCAACACTGTTCCCGATGCTTTGCAACAGCTACCGGATCTGATCAACAGCCACCTACACACTACTTGGCAGAATCAGTTTCCAAAGGGCATTGTTGTACTAAAGCCTCTTCCTGAACACACCACTGTTCTCATTGAGCCTGCAATTGACCTTGCGCGAAACCTCTCCCAATGCTCCAACACACCTCTTCCTTCATCTTGCCCTCCGAACAGGCCCAAATGCAAGCCTTGCGTTAGCAACAAGATTCCTATTTCTGCGCAAAAGTTTTTCAGAAACGACAGCAGGATATTCACGATTGCGAGTGTGCCACACCCGTACACGATTACCAGTCTTGTAAAGCAAAAAGACGACCTCGATCTCAGATTCATCAGAAGGGAGACGAATAGAGACATCTGGATTCACGCCGCCACAAAAGAAATGCTCGGAAATGGCCTCTCTTCGTTCGCCAGGCTACCCACAATCAAGGAAGCAGTGGCATCTGCATATGGCAGTACAAGATCCTTGTGGCTCACAGCGGAGGATCCTCCCAAAGCAGAGAGCGAAGAAGACCGAGCAGAACTCGATTGGATTTTCCCGTTCAAGATACCACGCGAGCCGATGCCCTCCGGCAAGAGTGAGACACCAGTGCCCGGGCCTGAGAGGCGACCACCAGCTCCAAAGCCTGAATACGGAGATGGTCCGGTGCCTAAAGAAGCAGACCTGGCAAGGGAGAAGGATCTCTTTCAAAAGGCTGTCATCGCCTTACGCAACGGGGAAAAGGGTGGCGCGAAGCCCGCGGTCCAGATCAAAGAAGTCGTTGAATCGTGGAACCTCGCTGACGCAGAGGCTTGGAAATTCGTTCGCGCTTATAATGCTCGTAGGCGTTCGGAGAGAAGGAAATGGGAACATGAGGAAGCTTCATACCAAGGCAAGGGAGCTTTCGATAGATGGGTTGACAAGATATCGTGATAAACACAGCCAGGAGGTTTACTGGGATATTAGCGATGGAGTTACGGTAGACTGGTTCCAAAGCAGACATCATGGCGGCTTCCGTGCCGTCTTCTACATCGTGCAGCTGCTTGTGGCTTCTCTCAGGTTTCGAGGCAAGAGCTTGCACCATCTGGCAAACGTCCGGGAATTCGCCGTGATATACAATTCCGCTATACAGTTCGAGCGGTGGTCAGCACGTCGCCGACTGTAGTCCAGTCTCGATTATCGGACGCAGAGCGCGCGCATGGCTACTTAAGGCGGCGCTCCTTCGCAGAGTTATAGGTATCTAGGCACTTTTCATAGCCGCAGATTCCCCGTAGGCAGGCCAAGGGCTGTACCTGCTCCACTGGACTTGCTCCATGCATATTGCTTTGCTGATACTGATGTCTCCTTTCTCGCAGCCCTGACTATTCACACGACAGCAGCACCTTATAGCAGCATCATGGACAATCATACACAGCAACGGCTAGTCGATAACAGCAATTCAATGTCAGCCATGCAAGACAGTGACGGCAACATCGACCTTCACACTTCCGAAGCTCCATTACCTGACGCATTCCGCCAAGACACCTCCATGGCATCCCGGTATGCTAGGTCAACAAGTTCAAGATATTCGCTCCTCCAACATTCAAGACAGTCGGAGGCGTCTCCGCCACGCCGTCCATCGCCACCGCCTTCGCCCCGTCCCCGTCCTAGACAGCTGGCATCGCTCCCTCCTTCCAGCCCCAGCCTAGTACAGGACGGCCCGAACAAAACACAAATCGAACGTATAAGACAGTTGTATAGGCAAGCAGCATCATAGGATGATCTCGGGCAATACGGCCTGGCTTACGACCTCTACTGCGATGTGCGAGACTTCGTAATTCAATTATCCAAGGCATCGCTGGATGCGGTAGCTGCAGAGCTGCAGCCTCATCTTAATCGCCTGATTGATCTCACGGAAGCAAGCATTCCTGATGCACAAGATCCGGCCCGACCAGGACGATTAGTTATCGATGGATCCCGAGTGAGTCCAAGAACGAAGACCACTGGTTCTAAAGGGGAATCGCCGAAGCGTAAAAGTCTACCTGAGACGCCTGAGGCCTCAAGTGATGCCTCTCAGACTCAAGGGGCCATAGCAAAGTATCGCGAGGAACTTGATCGTTAGCAGCATGATAGCTCAAACGCTGAGAAACTGAAGAATATGCCAAGAAGGAAACGACACTCGTCTATCGTACGTTCGGTGGAGGACACTGGCTCGCCAAAGCCTCCCGCATATTATCTTTCAAAAGCACGCGCTCCTTCGAAACCAGGCGCATCACCCTCACCAGGAAGCCGCAAGTCTCCGCGTAAAAGCTCTGAAGGTGTCCAACTTCGCAGCAAGGACCGTAGGAAGGGGAAGCCTGGTGGGTCTCCCGAATCAGCTACAGATGACCCGATGGATGTAGACACTCCTTCATCCAACGTTAAGGCCAAAATACCGCCAGTTCCCAACCTAGAACGCCCCGGTACTCCAGTCCCTGGCCAGAAACCTTCGCCTGAGGAGAGATATACATCAGATTCCATCACCATTGCGTCAACCAGTCCGCAGGCTGGAAGCTCAGATCCGTTTGTATTCTACTCCAATCGCGAGGTCCCGACTGCCCAGAAGAATTTTGTGAACAAACAGTTTTCGATGCAGACGGACGCCGAGAAGACACGCCAGCCGACCTGGTAAGTGCAAAGAGGCCAAAAGAGTGGCGAAATAGAGGAGCTCAATACTGACTTTGAATGATGTGATACTTTAGGATGCGTTCCACTTACTAGGATTCATTTGGTTCTTTCCATGGTAATAAAGCGGTAGCAAAACACGAGCAGATCGCAGCAACTCGTGCGGAATTCCCACACGTTCAGATCAACATCCCGCCGGGGATGAAGTTATGGACAGACTCTGAGGACGATGAGCAAAACGATGGAGCAGTCTCGCCGGAAGAGGAAGGAGAAGCACTGAATGGTGGACTCACAGTTCACGAGTTCCGAGCAAACCCCGAAGATGGTGGTCGAACGGCAGAATACCAAGTCTCCCTGCACGCAAACGATGAGCCGGAATGGCACGAAGCAAAAGAGCTCGAAGGCGAAGCCTGGGATCGCGCGCTTCGCAAATTCTGGACAGCAAGCGATGATCGCTCCTTGGCTCGTGAAGTCATATTACACCCCAACGCCGAAGCCGAGACATTAATCGAAGACATGCAAGACTGCGACTGGTCACCGTATCGCAAATACATCAAATACCTCCTCTTCGAAGAAGATCGATATTTCGTTTTCGACGTGCGAGGCAAAGATATCTCCAAGCCTTTGATGCATGATGATGAGGATAGACATCGAGCGGAAGATCTTGGGGCGGAGTGGGATTCTGCGATTCAGGAGTTCTGGTTGAGTGTGAGATCGAGTATGGAGAGGATGTGGAGGTTGCAGGAGTATAGGGTTTTGGAGAGGGAGAGGGAAAAAGCTTTGAGACCGAAACCTGTGCCGGTGGTTCATCCGCTGATTGAGAGGATTTATGGTTTGAACCCGACGATACTCAAGTTGTAGATGGTATGCGGTGAGAGGGATGGGGAGGTATCCATGCGGATGCATGATTGACAGGGTATTGAAAATACTTCAACCAGATCTCTATTTGCAAGGCCCTGCACGGCTTCTGCGCGACTGGGCGGCGTGCCGCTGATGTCTCTTCATGGTGTTGCGAGATCACAATGTTTACGACCTGCTCAAGCACCGCCATAGGGATTATACACCGGGAACCAAGTATTGAACGCATCCTGATCTGGCATCACACACACGAGTATGCTCCCACATCGGTCGGTACGGGAAAGAGCATACTTCTCCTCCCTGCCTTCCTCTGCACCATACCGCCAAGTGTGCAGAAGACCGCGGTCCAGTCCAGTTGATGGCAAACCCTTCTCCTCCTCCTCTGCCAGTTGTCAGGTATCGAGCTTTATACTGGCTGGCTTTTGGCAAGTAATGCCAGAAGTTGATCTGAAGACGCGACTGTCAGTAACGTCCAAAAGGTTTGTGGGATCGAGCAACGCTGTCCAATTCTCCAGAATGGGAGTAGTTGGCTAGTTCCGTCCGCTGGCATCACGAAGATATAGACTACGTCTCATGCCATAGAACAACTCTACTGACGATCGCATGACAGTAATGGGCGAACTCCGTGAGAGAGGTGAAGATGATGTTTGGCAGGAGCAGTGGGGCACTAGGCCGATGGCTTTTGATCAAATCGCCCGAGCAAAAAGAATCCGCAGAGCTTACAAAACATATAAAGTAGAAATATCTCAAATGGGTATCATGAACGCTCATAAGCCAAAACAAACCGCAACTTCACAGCTCATCTTCGGTCTCTTCGTCATTCTGGACCTGATTCTCATTTCTCCATTTCATTCTCTCAACGATACTTCGATCCACTTCCTTCTCGGCCTGAAGACTCGTGATACGAGCCTCGAGCTCCACAATCCTCGCCTCTTTAGCCCTGAGTGCGAGACGTGAAATATCCCGCCCCTTTCTGATGCCCTGCGTTCGTAGGTCGTGCTTGGACAAGATGCTCCGCAGACTTTCGAGCTTTTCCGGTGGCAGTCTCACAGTACTTAGCTCTTGAAGGACCTCATTCGTCAGTGAGCTCTGCGAGTCGGCTGGGTTATGCAATGCATTTTTAAATCTTGATGTCGGTGAAGGTGACTCTGGAATTGCTGGCAGCGTGGAAACTACCGGTGGTGTTTGAGGCTCGATTGCCCGAGCTGGACTAGGCACGACCTTCGACGGTGAGGTATTGAAGAAGTCGAGGACCGTTTTCTTCCCAGATATGGGAGTGGCAGGGATTTGTGGATCTTTCAACCACGGCAGCTTACGCGAACTCTTCTTCGCGTCGCTTGTAGCTGGCGTCGCATAGACACCTGTCCTCTGAGCCTTGTGTGGTGTCTCAAAGGATGAAATATTGTCCGCTGCCTTGAACATCGCTTCTTCCTCCTGGCCATCCAAGCTGAACTTGTCATCATCGTCGTCGTCGCCGAGCTGAGCTTCAAGAGCATTACGCTTTAGGCCGACATTCGCACCTGGGAGCGTGGGGTATGATGGAATCGATGTGGGCGTAGGAGACGCTTCTCTGGCATTGACCATCTTGCCTTGTGCATCTCGACCAGCGGTCCAGCCTTCTTGCGCCTCTGGACCTTTAGGCTCGCTTCTGCTATTATTAAACACTGCGGCCGTCTCTCGGAGCTTCGCATCCTCATTCCATAGAAAGAAGTCGCAGCGCTGAGCGCTATCCGACGGCTGCTGGCATGTGTAGAACCATCGATCCTTGTTCTTGCCCTCCTTTTTCACTTTGAAGTGTTCTGCTGGCATGCGAGGCGTGCAATTGCAGTACCAGATGCCATTGTCGAAAAGACCTTTTAATGTGTTGCCGCCTCTGCCTCGACCACCACGGAATCCACCACGATTGCTGCGATATCGTGCTTTCTGCATCGAGTCTCGGGTGCGGATTGTTGTTGTGTTTGCATCAAGCGTCGTCGTTATACATGCGCGAAGAGTACATGTCGACGCAAAATGTGGATCCAAATGTCCAATTGACGAGACTGCATTTCAATATTATTGAAGTGAAGTGTCGCTCTCGAGAGTCTGGTGGCTGGGCTGGCACGGAAACGAGCGAGGCACGCACAGGGGATTCACAGGACGTCATCAAAGCTTAAACCGTTGCTTCACCGATTGCCTCGCGAGCAAGCTGGGCATATCACATTTCGTTCAGGCGAGCAAGGCCGAGATGTAATAGATACTAGCGGCTGCTCATCCCAGAACGCCTTGTAAATCATTGTCATCAAGCGAGATCATCACGCTATGCCAACTGAAGGCAAAGCTCCTAGAAACATATACCCGCTGAATCCACCTTCGTTTGTCCAGGCCACGATATGCTCCACCTGAAATGCAATGAAATGCTTGAAGACTGTGCATAAGAGGTTTTCAATTCTGCAATGACCCAGCCTAGTCTGCAACAGTCTTGCTAGCATCCTCTGGCTCTTTCGCCGCCTGCTCCTGTGTGGGCTTCTCGTCGTCTACCTTGAGATCTGCCACGCCTTTGACCGCGTCGGTATCCTCTGCGTCTTCGTTCGGATCCTCTTGCAGTAAATTTGACTTCTCAATTTCCTTGACTTGCTCCGCATCCGCAACAATTATATCGCTTCCTCGGTGCTTTTGCTTCTCCTCGCTGCTTGGTGCTTCTTCGACTTGCGCCGGTGTCGCTGTTCCGGACTGTATGCGTGATGCAGGCGCAGAGAGATGATCTATCGCTGGGTGGCTGCTCTTGATATCCTTCACCGCCTCCACGCTGCTCTTCTTTTCCTCTGGAGAGGATATATGGGGCTCCGCATTACTCGCTTCGACTTTGGTTGCCGACTGAGCTTTGTTACGTGCTGCGATCTCGGCTGCGCCTGGAAGTGCGATGCCTCTCGACTTGTCGAATGAGGGCTCAGGTTTCTTGTTCGCTGGTGCACTAGAGCTGCTTGCCGGGCTCGGGGATGTATTGTGCGAAAGCGGTGGTGCTGTCTGCACGCCAACACGTCCTCCTGCTGGAGCAGCATTGCTGGCGGGAACGGGTCCGATATTCTCCTTGAGTTCTCCAAACTCATTCCATTCTTCAACTTCTGTCAAATCCTAGACGCAACGTCAGTGACGAGCCTCTCACCCGATGCTTCCGTGCACATACTCCTATCACCAAGCCATCCTTTACCAAGCCAGGAAGCTTTCTCTGTCCTGCTCTTCGCTGCCACAATCTCCGTGCCTTCTCGTCTGTCGCAGTGTCTAACGCTTGAAACGGTATCTTGTTCGCTTTCAGTATCGTTTCCATTCGAGAGGTAGCAGTGATGATGTGAGATGAGCCGGCCGTCAACGAAGTGAACAAGAACAGTCTTGGGTCTTGCTCAAGCTCTGAGAGATCGTGTGCAGACGCCATGCTGTGCGCTCCAATGCGTGTCCTCGCCCTCTACTAGCACGTAGAAGTGAGACTACCAAGATCCAGAGTTTCGAGACTCTGAGTCTGCAGTATCCCATTGCCCAGTTTCAAGGTGGGAGGATCCGAAAAGCAAGAAGCAGCGGGCACAGTCCACGTCCAAAATATGCGGATGAAACGGCCCCTCGGTTAGCTTTGTAACCTTCCATCTTTCGTTCACATACCGCTATAACGGCGCGCGAACGATATTAGCACTGTTCTCGAAGGATTCGCCTTTGTGGATAGCGAATGCCGATTGCGAAACAATTGTCGTGCTGTATATCGTGTTCTACTGCCATTTACTATGGTCAGTGGGAGGAGTGTCTGTATACCAGCAACTGTGGGGCCCGCACGGGGCACCTAGAGTTGCTAGCAACTCTAACCATACCAAGCCCCGCTAAACCCAATACAAATCGTAATCTTGGCATTGCCACTATCTCTGCTGTTCCCAAATTCCTTCTACATTTCCTATTCTATATCCCCTATATTGCATAACGTTACTAATATAGACCTATCTACGCCTAGTAGTATTAGTAACCTTAAACAGCTTCGCTAGCGAGTTTTTAACCTTATAAAAGACATTAATACCGATACGGAAGGCTAGAAATTAATATAGAGCCTATATAGTAATCAATACACTAGGAGGTCTACTAAGAAGCTAGGCAAGCCTAGTACGGATAGTATATACTATAAGAAGGTATACTACTATTATATAGAAAGGTAGCGCCGTAACAAGCTAAATCGAGAAGTAGTAAGTATTAAGGATAGAAGAGCCTTTAAACTACTAGAAGAGGAGTGCTCTATTAGCTTTATTATAATAGTAGAATACCGCTAGAACGAGCCTACTAGAAAGGTTAGTATTCGTCGTTATATAACCGCTAATATATATACCTATAATCTCGACCTTCTTAATAGCCGCAAGGTCTATTAACTAGTTAAAGATAAGGTTAAGAAGCAAATAGACTACTCGCTATAGGCGAGGCGGACGTACGACGCTATTAATAGCTAATATAGACCTAATCTCGGTGTCCCTTATCTCGATATCGGTTTACTATATAATGCCGCTAAGAAGTCGCCCTATTACAACCGAGACAAGCGGTTTACGATGCTAGCCGAACGAGACGATCCTAAGCTTCAATTATAGGGTATTATAGCGGTAGCAAAAGAGTATAGATTATATTGTTAATTATTTAGTGTCTTAACAAAGGATAGTATTAGGAGAGGCTTCGTATAGGCTATAGAAGAAGGCATTAAGCTACTAAAGAAGTATAGCAAATTGATACTACTAGACAATATGTACGAAGTTAACTAAATAGACTAGAAGTTGTTTAATATCCTTATTTCTAACGACAATATACGCTAGCGTCTAGTAGTATATATATTGCTTAAAAGCAAGTATAGTTAGGTCTATGCGCAGGCACTACATTATCTAGCTTCTTAGGCTAACTATAGTAAACCTAGTAGTTAGTTGTTATAATACACTATTACTAATAACTCGGCTTTAGAACAGATAGCAATCCGAGAGATATTTCTACTAGTTAGGACTTATCTTTGTATACGGCACTTACTATAGACTATTTGCCGCAAATTTCTACTTAAAAGTCGATATAAGGCAGTCTATAAGAAGCTAGTTTAGGTATCGTTATATATAGAGACTAATAAGGAGGTTAAGGTTAGAATATAATAGGCTATTAACGCTCTACCGGACGGCAAGAACGACGAGTTGTACTCGTATTTGTTACGAGAATAGTCCGCTAAGTACGCCTAGATATAGACGGTTAAGGAACGGAGGAGCAACCCCTTATTAATGCGTATAAGACTACTATAACTACTATAACCTCCTCTTCTAAGTGTAATTGCTAACTGTCGTTGCTTAGGCGCGTATAACTAGTCTAGTCGAGGCGTACTACGCCGATTTCAAGAGCAATACTAAGTCGATTAAGGCTAACTTCTCGCTCGCCGGCACCCTTACATATATACTAGAGATTAATAAGAGATAGCATAATAATACAAAGAAGGAGGCGGCAAAGGATAACCTGCTTCCTATATTTACTAGATTGAATAGTAGTAGTAAGCGCTTCCACGAGTTGCTATACTGTCTTTAAACCGCTATTGCTAAGCAATATCGACTCGCTTAGAAGCGCGCTTATGCCGGGCTTCTAAATTAGACATAATATTAACTACAACTCGATAACTAACTCCCCGATATATACTAGTGCTTCTTCTAGAAGCAGTAGCACTAACCGTGTCGGCATATTTAGCATAATCGAGAGATATTAGGCGATAGTATAACGGCTAGATAGGTAGATTGCTATATTAACCGTTTCTTCGACCCTAATAGCTTTAATAGCGATATTAACTCGCCGAAGACTTATAGCGAGTAGCTCGCAGACGACAATAACCTATATAAAGACGATAAGGCCGAGGAAGTTAACGCTATTACTAGCACTATATTAAAGGACCGTTACCTACTAATTCGTAGCCTTATCGAGAATATTACTTATAACTATTATTAGAAGATTAAGAAGGCGGAAACAGTAGTACTAGCGCACCTACTATTAACCTATCGAGACGACATTACTAAGCAGTATTATACTAAATATATGCGCCTATCGGCGGCGGCAGAGCTATTACAATAGCTCTAGCAATATTAATAGCAATATAACGATAGCATATTGTTTGCTATTTAATAGGCATAGGTCGATATAGGCGTAGGCGCCTTACTATTAATCTACTACTACTACTACTAGCAATAATAACCTTACTAAGTATAATAACCGCGATAGGTAAGGGACTTATTCGCGCTAGGCGAGGGCACTTAACGCGTACTAGAGTATATAGCGACTAGTCTCTATACTAATTAGTATAGATATAGTTACTAACCTCCTCCGCCTTCCTTCTAGCAACCTCCGCCGTCGCTATTTAAACCTACGCAGGTTACTAACTCGGTACTTTAGAATATATACGCCGTAGGCGACAGCACCTATCGATATAATATACCTTCTTTAAACGACAGCAGTTTAACAGACGTTATACGCTATATCCTTTACTAATAGCGACTTCTATATGCGCCTGCTATACTAAGCGGTCTTCGTTACTTAATAATCGCCGCTTATATACCTACGCCGTAGCCGTTAAACCTCCGACAATATATACTATAACAGTCGCTAATCGATATATTATAACTAAGTTACGAGGAAGCGTCTACCTTTATTAGAGACCGCCGATTTCTATTAGAAGAACGGCAACGAGTGTTTAATAGTAGGACCTTTAGTAGCGGCAGCGGCAGTAGACATAGTAGCGGTAGATATAGCGGCAATAGACAATAAGGGTAAGAGTAAGTAGATATACCTCGAATTTAGCGCAACGGCTATACTATACGTTAACTTTGGCTTTATTAAGTTATCGCTAGCAACCTTAGTAGAAATTACTATATTCCTAAAGCCCTTTAGAATTTAAAGCATATTTTAACTAAATTTATTAGGGGAGTTACTAGCAACTCGAGGTTAGGGGTAGAACAGGGGTAAAAGTAGGTCGAGCTAATTAGCGCGAGTTGCTAATATACAGACACCTAGTAGGAGCAGCAGCGCTAGCAGGGGTTTATAGCGGGGTAGTCTACCTCTACGCCTACTGCTTCGGAAGGTAGCTTTTTCTTCGACGACTGTTTATAAACACTTTATAGCGACAACGACAACGACTAAGACGAGATAATAAAGCGTATATAGGTATAGCAACGCTACCAACCGGCGCCGCTACCGGCAATGCTAATATTAACGCTAATACAAATTAACCTATTCGGTATTCTATTGCCCTCTACAAATGCTAGCGACGCAACGAGACAAGAGTATTATCGCGCCCTTTAACACATCTATAGCAATGCTATTTAGCAACAACAGACCGTCTAACCTAGCAGCTAAGACAATAATGCTAATCCGTTATCTTAGTCCTCGTTTATCAACCTTAAAGGCGCATTAACTATTCTAGCAGCGGGTAAGGACTACTTCCGGCGAATACTAAACTATTCGGTTAACAACAAGCACATTAACGCTATAATAGACGGCATCCCCTACCTTCTTAACCTACCTAATCTACTTCTAAGCGACTAGAAAGATAGAAGGAAAAGTGCTTACTAGGTACTATAACTAGATAACCGGCAGAATTAACGAGTATAAAATGCCGCTAGACGAGGCACGACTAGACTCAATTACGACCTAGTTTAGGTGCATGCCTCTGTTTCAAGCCGTTTTTATAACGCTTTATACTAGCAATCTATAGTCCGGCGGTGCTAGTATAATAATACAACGTTATTACTTCCCTAGCTATACGACTAGGTGTTAGGGCTAAAGAGGCTATACGTAATTAGCATGTAACTAGGCCGAGTAAAGCTAGGGTCTTAATGCCTTAGGCAGGGCTTAGCGCTTAGCGTTAGGCTAACTCTCCTACCTTCCTCCCTCTCCTCCTAAATCCTTATCGAATACTATACTAATTTACTACTACCCTATCTACCTGCTAATATAACCCTTCTTGTATAGTATTCGATCTATCCTTTAAGGGTAGTAGCTAGATAGTCCTTATTTCAAGCTTTTAGCGGTATAGCTACGAAAACCGTTAATCTAACTATATCGCGCCCGAGGCGGGATCTATACGCACTATTCTATTAGAATAACCGTACCAATTATTAAGCAAGGTCTTCTATACGGCCTATTATACTAAGTCAATCGCACTAAGCCGATATCTACTAATTCCGCTATATCCGCATCTTAGGGGCCTATAATACATTATTAGTGTTACCCCTTATAATAGCCGGTTTATTACGAAACAACAACCGTGCTGCCGCTAGCAGCGCTAGCAATAACAACGCTAGTGGCATAGTTCCCGCTAAAGTGCCTACTAAAGTGCCTCCCGCTAAAGAGCCTACCGGAGAGCCTATTAAAGAAGAACCTATAATTCTAGGTAATAATCTA